AAGCAGTGATTTGAACAGACACTGTACATCCATGTTTGTAGCACCATTATTTACAAGCTCAAAGGTGAAAACAACTCAAGTGTCCCTGGACACTTGGATGGATAAACAAAATATGGTCTGTACATACAATGGAATATTATGTAGCTTTAAAAAGGAATGAAATTCTGATGCATACCATGAAATAGATAAATGAGTAAGACTTGAACCCACAACTTTTTCATTAGAATTACTCCTCTCCAATATTACTCAGCCATAAAAAGGAACAGTTTTGAGTCAGTTCTAGCAAGGTGGATGAATCTAGAGCCTGTTATACAGACTGAAGTAAGACAGAAAGAGAAAAACAAATATCATATGTCAATGCATGTATGTATCATATGTCAATCAAGGAAATGGTACTGATGAGCCTATCTGCAGGGCAGGAATAGAGATGCAGACATAGAGAATGGACCTGTGGACACAGAGTGGGAAAGAAAGGGGGGGACGAATTGAGAGAGTAGCATTTAAATATATATGTTACCGTGTATAAAATAGATAGCTAATGGCAAGTGGCTGAATAACACCGGGAGCTCAGCCTGGTGCTCTGTGACAACCCAGAGGGGTGGGATAGGTTAGGAGGTAGGACGGAGGTTCAAGAGGGAGGAGATGTATGTACACATATGGCTGATTCATGTTGATGTATAGCAGAAACCAACACAACATTATAAAGCAATTTTCATCCAATTAAAAATTAAACAAAAAAGAATCGCTTCCCTCCCTCTGCCCCTTACAAGTGTTGAGCCTTTCTTTATTCCCAATTTGTCGCAAGACCAGCTCCCGCTCACTGCAGACACCACTGGGGACACCTTCTGTACCATTCCCTTGCAGCAATTTTCCGGGCACTGACACCCGGTTGGGAGACCATTTTGGAAGGGATAGCATGTGAAATCAGAAGTGCAAATCTCAACCAGATTGTGCCATGGATTTTCACTTGAATGGAATTTTGGCTAGCATGGGAGTTAGAAACATTATCTTAGGCTTAGATCTGAAATGGGTCAGGCTGCATCAATCCTGGCTGATACCCCCTGGACCATATCCTCTGGGATTGCAAAAGATTCAGGCAACAGAAATTAAAAAGGAAAAATAAGCAAATAAAACACCTTAGTAGGATATGTAATCAGGTTTGATCATATATGAATTAGGATGGAAGCACCCTATATCTAAATTTTCATGTCCTTGTGTCTAGGCAGTGGAACCCAAAAGGAATTTAAGGCCTATGTAGCTTGGACAGAAAACTCTAGAAAGGACACAGAAGATATTTTAACTGACCCACCCTAGAAGGCCATGGGTGCCAAACGAGCAGGGATCCCTCTCACCCACCCCACTCCCGCCCCCACCCCATCCCCTGGCTCAGGCCCTTTGGCCATGCATTTCACTGCCCAGTCTGCCCCAGACATCAGGCACAAAGTTCAGAACACAGTCTGGTCCTCAGACTCTAATGAATGATTTGTTCCAATTGTTTTATTCAGTTTTCAGTAATAGGGATATGGCCAAAAAAGCTGAATAGACCCAGAGAACTGTGCAAAAGGCCCAAATGATTGCAGTGGGTGTGTTCGTTCAGGGACCACCAATGAGGAGGTCGGTCTTTGGGGGCCAATCTGGCCCTGGCAGACCACGAGGCCCAGGGGTACCCAGACAGGACCACTGCACCCTGTGTGGACAACAGGGGCGCTCGGGGGAGGGCTGCAGCTGATGCACCCTTTGCAAAGGGCCAGGGTATTGGTGGAGGGAATGCCCCAGATGCCAGAGAATATCGGGGGCCCCCTCAGTCACTGACACTTTTGCAATCAGAAGACTGAAGGGGCCCAAGGCCAAAAGTGATTCTGCCTAGAGATAGCATCTACATAACTAATGTCAAGCCTTGGGCGGGCAGTAATGTGGCAGGCCACGAGATAGAGTTTCTGACAGACACTGGTGCAACCTTTCAGTCTTAACCCAAAGGGCTGGAAATCTTAGGAACCATAAGGAATATGTAATGGGGATGTCAGGGATGAAATCGGGGCACACTTTTCTGGAACCCCTTTTGTGCAGCATCAATGGCCTGTTATTTTTACAACGCTTTGTTTGTGCCTGACTGTCCCATCCCTTTAAAGAGAAGAGACTGACAGGCCGCTCTGTTTCTCAAGGGGCAAGGGAACCACCCTCGTCACCAGATGGTTCTCACAAAGGAACAGTTAATAGTAGACCTTAGTAGATCATGGAATGTGGAATTTTGAGGTACTTAGCTTGGCCTAAGATACTCAGCTGGTGATTATTAAGTAAAAGGGTTGTACAGTGTCTAAATAGAGAATACAAATTTCTTAAACCTAGGGAAGATCCTCAAAAATGTTTGTAAATAGATGATCAAAAGGGGAGGCCACTGGTCTAACTAAACTATGTGCATGCTCAGTCGTATCCAATTCCCTGCAACCCCATGGACTGTAGCCCCCCCGGCTCCTCTGTCCATGGCATTTCCCAGCAAGAATATTGGAGTGGACTGCCATTTCCTCCTCCAGGGGAACTTCTCAACCCAGGGATCGAACCGGCGTCCTCTGCACTGGCAGGCAGATTCTTTACCACTAGTGCCACCTGGGAAGACCCTAAAATTTTCCATATTGATAAAAAAAACCTCTGCAGTTCCAGAGATTTCTAGGAATCCTTTAAAGGTGTGTGTGGGTTTTTTGTGTTGTTACAATAAAAAATGATTCTATACATATTTGCATGCATGTATCCTGATATACTTGTGCAAGAATTTCTGCAGGGTATATACCTACAAATGTAAGCAGTAAAGTTGTGTGGTGTATTCATCTTAACATAGACCACTGGCTCGTTGATTTCAGGAAAACTGTACCAATTTACACCCTCACCAGCAGCACCTAACAGTTTCTGCCGTTCATATCTGGCAGCACCTGTTTTGTTAGTGCAATGTCTGACTCTCCTGATATTTACATTATAAGCTGGTTTTAGAACCAAACTTTCACATTTACATGATTCCACCGTGTTGGATAGTTAGGATTTTAAGATCCTGATATGGGACCAAGAATACCTGATGTCTCCAACATAACGGGTGCTCAGTAAATGAGAAAAGATTAAATGAATCTAAACTTCAGCTGTTTAGTAAAATCATAAGATTTTTTTTTTCATATTTTAAATGTTTATCAGTACATTCCTGATTCCACTCTTTCCTTCTGTCTCCAGATTATGCACCCAGTGTCAACTTACAGTGGTGTATTTCTTCCCAAATTCAGAGGCTACACAGGAAATTGAATGCAGCAGTCTAAGGGTTGGCCCTAGAGGTGGGATATGTATTACAGTTACTTTATTTTAATCTAGTAAATCTAAGTGAAATATCATAACATAAATTTTAGAGGAAACAAACCCTCCACAATTTCTAACCTTGATTTGAGTACTTCTGTAGTTTTTATGTGCTCTGACATGTCATTTTTAAAAAATGATATAAATTCGACTTTAACATACTTATTTGATTGTTTTATACTTGGTGAAATTTTCATGAGCTAAATCTTGGTTCCCAATTACTAGTTCATGGGCCTCTGCCAACTCCTGGCCTAAAAAGTAACAACAAAAAGAAGAGAAGAGTGAACTTACCATACAGCTAAATGGATTCCAATTAAAGGACCACATTTCATTCCACAATTATGTCATTTCTACCTTCTTACTATTAAAATGTTCTGTTTTACAAAATAAGCAATAGTAGATGATGTTTATCTGTTTGACAACTTGACCTCAGATTTTCCTTATGTGTGTGTCTGTGTATTAATTTTACTGACCTTTCAAATCTAAGTGTTTGGAAACATTTTCAGAGCTGTTTACTGCTTCCTTTAATAAGTATTTTGTAGAAAGCACATTGGGAGTTACCATCAGGAGCACACAGCCTCAGAAGGTAAGGCACAGTCATCAGGATTCATACCTATTTATTAATATTTAGTTCTGATTGGGTTTCCAGGGAGGCTTAGTATTGCTAATAGTAAGGGTTATTGTCGTTGTTCAGTCACTCAGTCCTGTCCCACTCTTTGCGACCCCCATGGAGAGTAGCCCGCCAGGCTGCTGCTCTCTCCGTGGGGTTTCCCAGGCAAGAATACTGGAGGGTTGGCAAGAATACTGGAGGGTTGCCATTTCCTTCTCCAGGGGATCTTTCCAGATCAGGGATCAAAGCCCTGTTCCCGGCATTGTGAGCCACCAGGGAAGCCCAACAGTAGGGGGAAGCGAGAGTGAAAGTCGCTCAGTCGAGTCTGACTCTTTGTGACCCCATGGATTGTACAGTCCATGGAATTCTCCAGGCCAGAATACTGGAGTGGGTAGCCTTCCCCTTCTCCAGGGGATCTTCCCAACCCAGGGATCGAACCCACGTCTCCCGCATTGCGGGCAGATTCTTTACGAGCTGAGCCACCAGGGAAACCCAACAATAGGGGAGTGATGAGCAAAGACAAGGGTCTGTGCCCGCCGGTGTAAGGCTTAGCCTGTGCACCATACACTTAGGAAACAACCAGTTTCCCGGAGAAGGAGGGAGACCCTGGGCCCGGATCCAGGTGGGAAGGTGGAAGGAGGAAAACCCGTGCTCCGACGCGGTCGGCTGGGAGCAGAGGCTCGGAGAAGAGCTGAGTGATAATGGGCGGGAAGTCAGGGCTGCGCAGGGGGGGCTGGCGCAAGGGCCGGCTGAGCGTGGCACAGAAGGGTTGGCGAGAAGGCTCCTGGAAGTCGCTGCAATGAGACTCGATGAGCCACCGACTTCAGGATGCGCAGAAGCACCAGGATGCCAAGTAGACTAGAAACCTGGGTCAGAGGCGGGGGTGGACACGCCCCGCGTGCTCCCCCGCCCAATCAGCGACGAGCCAACCACGGTCGCGGGACACGCCCCCTGCTCCGCGCCTCTTCCCGGCAGCCTCGCGGACCCGGCGCCCATCTGCGCCGGCGCCGTTTGCAGGCCCTGCCCCATCGCCCTCCCGCCCGCGCCTCCAGCCGCCAACATGGCAGCTCCCTGTATGTCCTGCGGTGCAGCAGCTTCCTACCGGCTCTTTCTTGCGGGTAGGGTTAGCTTCGCCCGGGAACAAGGCCTCTGGAAAGCCGCGGCTTCTGGGCTGCAGACAGGTACCAGATGCCAGGTAAGGCTTGGGAAAGGTGGCAGTGCTGGTCCTTGTAGCATGCCGTGTGGCCAGGCGCCGCCAGAGTCTTTAGTTGCTCTGAGGATCTTTAGTTGCTGGGTGCGAGATCTCTTCAGTTGCGGCTGATGAGGTCTAGTTCCCTGGCCGGAGATCGAACCCGGGCCCCCAGCATTGGGAGACGGGGCCTGTGGGATCTTAGGTGCTCAACAGAGGTCTTGGGTAAACAGAGGGTGGAATTGCCTTGCAACGGCCAACCTTTGAGGTTGTTGCTGGTTTTCGCAGGGTGCAGTGAGGGGGAACTTATCTGAGACAGAAACAGAGCGACCCCTCCCTTGACTTGTCGCCCGGGTGAATTATGGGTTCAGCCCTGCCCCCTCGAGACCCCGATCAAGAGGGTGTTGGTGGATGAGAACTGGACTCCTGCAGTGGCCCGAAGACTTAATGCAGGAGGTCATATAGTGGAGAGGAGAGAGAAACATTTCCAAAGTGTCTTGCGTCTGAGCAGTGTGCATTCTGTTAATTTTCTCGGTAGTCTGTCTCTGATTGATGGAGAGCATAACTTGTAAGTTACATTTAATCCCGGGGCCAGTGGGAAGCCAGGATTCTAACTTCAGAACTGATTGGATGATAATGCCATTTACTGACATGGGATCTGAGTAAAAGGAACAAAATTTGAGAGGGAAAAAAACGAGCTTAGTTTTGGAAATAATTGTATTTATTACATAGTTATATTTGCGGTGTCCAAGTGGACCCAAAGAGAGGCAAGCCTATAGTTCAAGAAGAGAGCTGGTTTACAAGTCCTCTGTTGCCTTGTGTGTGGTAATTAATGAATTAGATCATTTGGGGGAGGGTGCAGTCAGTGAGGAAAAAGAAAAGGACCAGACCCTGAAGGACAAAGAGTAGAGAAAGAAGGGCCCCCAGGAGATTGCGAAAGACTACCAAAGAAGTGGAGAAAAACCAGGCAGTGTGGAGCAGTGTGGAGCCATAGAAAACAGGAGAATGTTGCAAGGAGGGGAAGTGATTAACAGCACCAGATATTGTAAAGAAGTCAAGTACTATGATCAAAACCTGTGTTAAAAAAAAGAAATACTAAAAAAAAAAAATTAAAAAAAGAAATACTATCTTTTTTCATTTTTTCTTCTACATTTTATCTCACAGCAACCAACCCATCCATTCATTTACCCATCAAACATTTCTTTTTATTGTTTTTTAACTGGAAAATAGGCTGGAAGTTTTTATTTTCTCATGCATCTCTTTTGAGTATATCCTTTTGTATACACACAATTTTCTGTGAAAGGTAATGTAGGTTACAGAATGTCTTTATTGTTGACAGTGTGGGGGAAGCAGCCAAGAGTATTTTTTTCCCTCCCTGGAACTCCCAAACCTGCTAATGCATGTATCCTTCTGTGTCTTTCTTTATGTTTTTTAAATCACATACAGACATACATGAAATGCATGTTTTTTTTAAAGAATAGAGTGTTCTACTTTTTGTTTCTTTACCTAACATGTATAGTACAAGTCTCTCCAATTATTATTATTATTTTATTAAACACCTACTATGTGTCTTTGTTGTTAGTCACTCAGTCATGTCCAACTCTTTGCAAACCACATGGACTGTAGCCCACCAGCTCTGTCCAAGGAATTCTCTAGGCAAGAATACTGGAGTAGCTTACCATTTCCTTTTCCAGGGGCTCTTCCCAACCCAAGGATAGAACCCTCATCTCCTACATTGCAGGCAGATTCTTTACCACTGAGCCACAAGGGAAGCCTTCCTATAGAGGGTATTTTTACTTTTTGTTTATCAAGTATAAATGTGTTCCAGATAGTGATATAAGCAGTAGCTATTACTGTGAGTCACAGTCAGAAACGTTTGAGAGACTGTGATGCAACAAGGAAAAAGAAATAAGTTCTGTTAAACTGTGACTCCTGGGTGCTCAGTTGAGAGCCTCTGCGGTGGGTTTTCTCCTGTGTACCAGAATTGTGGAATCCACATTTCACATCAGTGCTTCAGTACAAGTGCCAATATCTGGCTGTCCCAAATTTGAGTGGAGGAGGGAATATTACTCGTGAATGACCAGATCTTTCTGGTTTTAAACCTGTGAATATCAAGGATCTACGCACAGTGTCCTGTGAGATTTGTAGAGGTGAATGCAGAAGAGCACAGACGCACGGAGCCTAATACAAATGAGCTGGATAGAATGGATAGAATGACAGCCTCCTCTCGGGGAGGTAATGGGAGAGTCTGTCAGGAGTTACGTGACAAAAGAGGGATCCTGTTCCCGAAAGATGCAGTAGGTACCCAAGCCCCAGAGATGTGCACAGTCAGTGGATTCTGGCAACGACAAATAATTGGTTCTAGCAACTGCAGTTGGTATAATAACTGATGAGAGAATGGCGAGATGGGATTAGAAAGTGTTTTGCTATGCTAAGATAACTTGATTTTTTTAAATTTATTTATTTTAATTGGAGGCTAATTACTTTACAATATTGTGGTGGTTTTTGCCATACACTGACATGAATCAGCCATGAAGGTACATGTATCTGCCCATCCTGAACCTCCCGTCTGCCCCCCACATCCATCCCTTTCCCTCCCACCTCCCTCCCCATGCCATGCCTCTGGGTTATCTCAGGGCACCTGTTTTGAGTGCCCTATTTCATGCATTGAACTTGGACTGGTCATCTGCTTCACATATGGTAATACACATGTTTCAATGCTCTTCTTTCAAATCATCCCACCTTTGCCTTCTCCCACAGAGTCCAAAAGTCTGTTCCTTACATCTGTGTCTTTTTTGCTGTCTTGCATATAGGGTCATCATTACCATCTTTCTAAATTCCATATATATGGATTAATATACTGTATTGGTATTTTTCTTTCTGACTTACTTACTTGCCTCTGACTTACTTTCTGATTTACTTTCTTTCTGACTTACTCTGTAAAACAGGCTCCAGTTTCATCCACCTCATTAGAACTGACTCAAACACATTCTTTTTTATAGCTGAGTAATACTCCATTGTGTATATGTACCACAACTTTCTTATCCATTCGTCTGCCGATGGACATCTAGGTTGCTTCCATGTCCTGGCTATTGTAAACAGTGCTGTGATGAACATTGGGGTACATGTGTCTCTTTTACTGTCACAAATGAAAGTAGTTTTGGCTTTGTTATAAGTAGTTGACAGTCACAGTGTAATACAAAGGTTGTCCATGAATTCTTAACACTTATCAATATAATTTTATATAGGAATGCTCATTTAGCTTTCCATAATATTTGTGACATTCATAATAGGAAAAAGCAGTAGGCCAATCTCTATTTTGAAAACTGTTACTACAAACATCAGTATGTCCTCTTGATTTTCTACTGAGCACTTGCTAAGTTTTTACTGAGCCAGCAAGCCTTTGTTGATTGGACTGTCAGCCAGAGAAGAATGCTGGATGATATTCAGTGGCTTAGCCCTTGTGTATTTTGCTTTTATTGTGAAAAACATTGCTGCCTCTGTCTTAAGGATCTGTTCTTTTCATCTCTCATCTCGTGGGCTCCTGGAGGTTATAATATTCTATGTTTATCACCGCATCCACTGTTTATAGTAGTCTTAATACTACTTGCAAATTCCTCAAAAGCCTTTGCAAAACAGATACAAAAATTGACCAGTGTTTGTAGCAGATGCTTTATACAGCTAGTACATTAGTTGTGTTTCCCCCAGATAATTTTTGAAGTTTTTAAGATTCCATTTGGTTAGCAATGGGAAAGGAAAGCCCTTTGGCAGCATTAGCTGTTCCCTTGGCAGTCTCATCCTCCGAGATGTGTTAGTGTGTCCCTCGTCACTTTAATTACGGAAAATACTAGGTCAGTAAAATTGTCATTTTCCTCATGTGGTTTACAAATTTCTTATTTAAGGAAAGCTTGATAATAGGCATACCCATCGTTGCCACCTCTCTTTCCTTATAAAACAGGGTAAGTGAACTTTCTTGTACTCTGCTTTAGTGTTGTGATTGGGGTGTTGAGTGATTATTTACTGCTGTATAGCAAATTGACCTCAAATATAGCAGCTTAAAACAACAGATACTTACCTCGTGGACTCTGTGAGTCAGGATTCCAGGCACAGTTGCACTGGGCCTTCTGCTCAAGGTCTCCCACAAGGCAGCAGCCCATGGTCATCTCGGGTCAGGGGTGGAAATCCGCTGTCCACATGCTCAATGTGGGTGTGGGCAGGACTCACATCCTATTGTGCTGGCTGTTGGCCAGAGACCACCCTCAGTTCTTGGCCTGTGGACCTCTGGGGAGCAGCTCACCACGTCTTGCTTTCCTCGGTTTGATCAAGAGAGAGAAAAGGGGGAGGAGAGCCTTCCTGTAACCTGACCTTAGAAGTGTCTTTCTGCTGTCAGTGGTGTTCTGTTCCTGAGAAGCATGCCCCAGGCCTGTGTCTTCTGCTCGGTGGTTTCTGTCTGCATGCACACAGGCTTATTTTAAGGGGAGTGGTGTTTCTCTCTTTGGGCTTCCCAGGCGGCGCTAGTGGTAAATAATCCTCCTCTCAGTGCAGGAGACACAGGTTCCATCTTGGGTTGGAAGATCCCCTGGAGGAGGGCACGGCAACCCACTCCAGTTTTCTTGCCTGGAGAATCTCAGTGGACAGAGGAGCCTGGCAGGTTACAGTCCATGGGGTGCAAAGAGTCAGACACGACTGAGGATGCACTGTGCCGTTGTACCGTTCATTCACTATACGTCAGGCTCCATAGCAGCTGACATTGACCAGTCAGTATCAAATGTGGATATTTCTAGCAGATAATGGAGGTAGCATATCACCCAGTTATTTTTATTATTATTTTTAGTGTGTTGAAATTCTAATAGGTTAAACTTCTTTGTGAGATAGGCTTTTATTTATTTATTTATTGATTGATCATAGGCTTTTAAAAGCAAGCTTTATCTTGTCTCCAGACTCCTGTCAATTGACTACTGTCCTAAAAAGACAATTGTTTGAAATGTCTCCTTTTATTTAGAAACAGTGGCCTATAAGATCATTGTTTAATTTGAAATCTTATCTTTCCATTTGTATTTTCTGCTAGATATTAAGGCTCAAACATTCCCCGGGTGTAACAAAGAAAAATGTTGCAGCCTTAAGACGTGAAAGTTACACAGTGGACTTTATTAAAAAGCAGATTGAAGAGTTCAACATTGGGAAGAGACACTTGGCCAACATGATGGGGGAGGACCCAGAAACCTTTACCCAGGAGGATGTTGATGTAAGTGCGGTGCTTGTTCTGGGAATCACGGGAACAAGGGCAGATCTTTGTTTTTCTAACATTGTTCAGTGAAACATGACTTTGTAACAGTAAAGCCTTTAAACAAAGTGTTAGATGTCAGTTAAAACTCACAAGAATCAGAGATTTTTCTTATACTTTAAGGGATACAGGTTATTTATTTATTTATTGCATTAATTGACTTGGATGTTAAGCCAGGGGCTTCCCCAGTGGCTCAGTGGGTAAAGAACCCGCCTGCCAACGCAGGAGCCGAAGGAGACGTGGGTTTGATCCGCGGGTTGGGAAGATCCCCTGGAGTAGGAAGTGACAACCCACTCCAGTATTCTTGCCTGAAAAATCCCTAGACAGAGAAGCCTGGCGGGCTGCAGCCCCTGGGGTCACAAGAAGTGGGACACGACTGGGCACAGTAGTTAAAAGACTGGGCTCACTGTGTGATTTTACATAAGCAACTGGGTGCCGTTGTGTTCACATCAAACCACTTGTTAGGATTTTATGTTTCAGAGATTGGGTTTTCCTTACTGTTAATACTTAACCAATTGCTAAAATAGTGATCACTGAAATCATTTATGAAATTCATTTAGGCAAAAATATTGAAGATGTAAAACAATTTTTTCACATATTAAAGTAGCTAACTTTTTTTGTTAAGAAGTTTAAAAAGATACATGTTGGTGTCTTTCATCTAGAGTATCCTTCTTATATTATTTAAAGACATCTAAAGATTCTGTCATTCAGTCAGGTAGAAGCAGTATTATTAATTCTGCCCCTTAAAATATTGAGTTGTTTTCCAGAGAAGATGTGCTGAAAATCTTGCTGTAAATGTGAGAGTTCACAGCTTTCCTGTACTTTTAAAACTGTGTGTGTGTGTGTGTGTTCAGTGAAAGTAAGTTGATACTATTTTGTATCATTGTGCTAATTGAACATAATAAAAATCCTCTTTAGAGTTAGCCAATAAAGTAGTGAAATCATGAATTAATATTAAAAAAATACAATGACTTCTTTTAAAATATGTAGAACCTTTTAAAAAAAATATAGAAGTTGGATTTCTTGTGAGGAATATAGATGTAAAACTTTGTTACTAATCTTTTTTAGAAGAAAAATTTGTTGTAGTTGAAGTGATGTTGTAGAAAGATACCGAAGCTGGCATTAGCAGAGTCCTTGTAGTGTCGTGAGCTTACACGTTTAGCAAGTCGCAGCATCGTCACTTGGTTTCCCCGTGTCTGAAATAACAACTCCTGTTCGCGACCTCAGAATATAACTAAGGAGCATGAGACTGATGTGTTGTGTTGTTGCCCTCATTGCCATTAGCGGTAGTGAATAAAATCTGCCGTGACTTGAGTCAGTCCCCAGTGCTCTCCATGAGCCGACGTGTCGGGGAGAAGACTCTGCAGTCCCGTCGGGAACGTGGGTTCGTCCTGGAGCCGCTTCATCCCGAGCGCGCTCTGTGCTGGGGGCTGGGGGTGCTCTGGCCTCGCCCGCGTCTGGGAGCCCGTGTGGAGGTGTGAGTCCTTCTCTGTGACACGAGTGACGCAGTGCCACTGCCCTCCACTTTACTGCCGGTGACCAGCTTTACCAGGTCTCACACATCATGTCAGTTGACCCCTGTGGCATTGTATTAAACTCTTTGTCTTTAGAGTAGACGCTAAAGCAAAAGAGGACAGTGACAACCAGCCGTTACTGAAGCATTGAAATTGTATGGGAACGTACCGTTTTATGATTCCCGTTTCATTTATGTTTCTGAAACTGTTCTTTCGGTAAGAGGTTTGGCTGTGTGTATCACCTGAAAGAGACAGTACAGCTGATGGGTCTTCTTTAACATTTCCGTACTGACAAAATGCCTGCTTATTTCTAAGGACAAAAATAAGTAATTTGATATCCAAAGTTCAGTTCAGTTCAGTTGCTCAGTCATGTCCGACTCTTTGCAACCCCATGAACTGCAGCACACCAGGCCTCCCTGTCCATCACCAACTCCCAGAGTCCACCCAAACTCATGTCCATTGAGTCAGTGATGCCATCCAACCATCTCATCCTCTGTCGTCCCCTTCTCTTCTTGCCCTCAGTCTTTCCCAGCATCAGGGTCTTTTCAAATGAGTCAGCTCTTCACATCAGGTGGCCAAAGTATTGGAGTTTCAGCTTCAACATCAGTCCTTCCAATGAACACCCAGGACTGATCTCCTTTTGGATGGACTGGTTGGATCTCCTTGCAGTCCAAGGGACTCGAGTCTTCTCCAACACCGCAGTTCAAAAGCATCAATTCTTCTGTGCTCAGCTTTCTTCACAGTCCAACTCTCAGATCCATACATGACCACTGGAAAAACCATAGCCTTGACTAGATGGACCTTTGTTGGCAAAGTAATGTCTCTGTTTTTTAATATGCTGTCTAGATTGGTCATAACTTTCCTTCCAAGGAGTACACATCTTTTAATTTCATGGCTGCAATCACCATCTGCAGTGATTGGAGCCCAGAAAAATAAAGTCAGCCACTGTTTCCAATGTTTCCCTATCTATCTGCCATGAAGTGATGGGACCGGATGCCATGATCTTAGTTTTCTGAATGTTGAGCTTTAAGCCAACTTTTTCACTCTCCTCTTTCACTTTCATCAAGAGGCTTTTTAGTTCCTCTTCACTTTCTGCCATAAGGGTGGTGTCATCTGCATATCTGAGGTTATTGATATTTCTCCCGGCAATCTTGATTCCAGCTTGTTCTTGCTCCAGCCCAGCGTTTCTCATGGTGTACTCTGCATATAAGTTAAATAATCAGGATGACAATATACAGCCTTGACGTACTCCTTTTCCTATTTGGAACCAGTCTGTTGGTCCATGTCCAGTTCTAACTGTTGCTTCCTGACCTGCATACAGGTTTCTCAAGAGGCAGGTCAGGTGGTCTGGTATTCCCATCTCTTTCAGAATTTTCCACAGCTTGTTGTGAGCCACACAGTCGAAGGCTTTGGCATAGTCAGTAAAGTTAGGAAAATATTTTTTAAGATTATTAATTTCTTGGACCATGTCAGGCCTTAGTTGCGGCGTGTAGGGTCTTCCGTTGTGGTGCAGACTCTGCACTTGCCCTGAGTGTGGGTTTGTTGCTCCATGGCATGTGGCCTGTTAGTTCCCCAGCCAGGGAAGGAAGCTGTGCCTCTTGTGTTGGCAGGTGGATTCCTAACCACTGGATCACCAGGGATGTCCCGAGGGAGAGAAGCTTATTTTTAGTTGTTATTTGTAACTAAGGATACCGCCACTTACTGAAACCTCCTGTGTGTGCTCATGATGTGTCCCCGTGTTTCATCTTCATAAAAACCTCACAGGGCAGGTGTTTATTCTTGCAGCCGCCAAGACTATACAAGGCGTTCACCCAAAGTCTGCTGTTCCCACGCTTTCAAAGATGTGATTTGGATAACACTTTGTACAATCAGATGCAGTCTCCCTGCCTTACTTGGTAGAACTCAGTGAGTGCGGCGAACCTCTCAGAGCCACAGGACTCTCCTTTCTGGGATGGCTGTTAGACGGTGGGGTCCCCGAGGACGTGGTGTCCCTGTACTGAATGGCCTGGCACTGCCCTTGCGTGCCAGCATGTCCATCTCTGCTTCTGCCACTCGGTGCTCCTTCACCTCCTGCCTTTGGCTCAGCTCAGGTGGGTGGGTGTGTGAATTAGAGCCAAGAGCCACTGGCCTCGGTGTGAGGACCCGTATGCCCTTCCTTCTAGGTAAAATCACAGATTTATGTCGGCTCATCTATAGACCTTTTTCATTGACTTCTAGGTTTACAATTTTATTCCAGAAGGTTGAGCTGGACTAGAAGTCTGGCCTCTGGCCTCCATGAAAGAAGCATATATAACGTAAAAGTATGAAAATTACACCTAGCTAATCTTGCATGTTGGTGCACCCTTAATTTGATAAGCCTTTTAAAAAAGAGTGCTGAGGTGGAATAGTAAAATAAAAAAGAAATATGATCGGTAGAATTTATGAATAAAAATAATTCTGCTTGTTGCTGTTGATATTTAAAATTACATTATTTAGAAATTTTATTATTAAAGCTCCAGCATTGCATATCTGCTGGAAATGTTTTTGCAAAATATTTAATGCTAAATTTATATGAAAAATACCCTTTTAGTTAGTAAAATAGCAAATTCACTGGAAAGAAATTAGGTGTAGACATTCTCCATTTCAAAATAGTTTGAATTTTGTCTAGTTTCTTCAGTTATATTGAAAAGAAAGGAGCCGCGCACTATTCTTTATTCCCAAATTACTGGTGCTGCCGTTGACAGGAAAAGCAGGTCCCTCTGACGAGCAGCGTGCTGTGCTGGGCTTAGTCGCTCAGTCGTGTCCGACTCTTTGCAACCCCGTGGACTGTAGCCCGCCAGCTCCTCTGTCCATGGGATTCTCCAGGCAAGGATACTGAAGTGGGTTGTCATTTCTTCCTCCAGGGGACCTTCCTGACCCAGGGCTCAAACCCAAGTCTCCTGCATCGGCAGGCGGGTCCTTTACCACTGAGCTGCCAGGGAAACCCGTGACAAGCAGTGGTGGGCTCTGTATGTGGCACCTTGCTGAAAGTACTTTAATGCATGCTAAACATTTTGAAGGTAGATCTTAATGGCGTGGACCTCAACTCCTGTGCCATAAATCTTTCCCAGGTGACTGCCAGATGTTGATCAGATGAGTGTTCTCGTCTGAGAATACTGTGTGCTGGGTTGGGGCGGTGGGGGGTGGGAGTCAGATGAAGACTGAGCTGAGTGGGGTTGTAATTCAATGTAAAGCAGTTACAGTTTGGCCAAGAGAAGAGTCTGTGTGTACAGAAACTGAGAAATAGCCCCGTCGTGTATAACAGGAGTGGGGTAGAAATACTTTCTGCAAATCTTGACCCAGGGCTGCAGACTGGTCAGGTGAGTGGTGGTCAGGGCCCCGGAATTACAGACAGTCACACATTCGCTCTACTGGAGTAGACAGACCTCTGTACTGTTGCCGACTCTTAACCCTTTTTGATGGTTCACATGGATCATCAAAATTTCTTTTCTCAAAGTCATGCTGCAAATACACAGAAAGGTGAGGACCACCGGTATTTGCATCTTTCCTTTTGAATCAGCCTATCAATTTTAAGTTTCGAGATATTTCAGTTATCCTAAATATTACGGATGCAGAATTGCACTTGCATTTACTAATGAGTGTATTTGGGAATTAAAAGTTAAGTTCTGCGTTAGTCGAGAAATTCAGGGAAAAAGCCAGCAAATTGATATATAATACTGCTGAAGTCTACCAATTACTTTTTAATTGGTATTATAGACCTCCTTCCGAAACCTGAGTGTTTTATTCTCCTAAGTGCGAATCTGCTGTGTGAAGTTTCTCTAATTGATTTGCTGTGCCCATTCCATTTGATGTATCATTTTTCACAATATTTCATAATTTGTGCTCACTTCTAATGAACAGAGTCGTTAGGACAGGCATGTCTAAGTACAACTGACAGCCAACATTAGGTGCCAGATGCAGTTTATAAAGCTGTGTAGCGCTGCAGAGAACAGTTTAAATAAATTAGCACCTGTACATTAGTCTCACTTGCTGGTAATTTATAAGCGAATCAGTAGAGATGACATGTAGGTAAGTCATTGATCACGTTAACAGCTGCAGACCCACTGCCCAGCTGGGATCCCTAATTAATAGGGATTGCAGTCCTGACCCAGGGCTTCCGTGTCCCGGATGGCATCTGCAGTCCTTTCATACTTTGACATAAAGCCTGAGAATACATAGTTACATATTTAGCCTTCATGGGAGGGAACACTGCAGTCACCAGTATTCTCATGAAAATATGAAGATGTAAGCAGCATGTTTACAAATGAGAAATACCTTACTTTACTCTGTGACACTTACTTGGGTTAATTTTTTTTTTATATTCTTTTGTTTTGGATTTAGATAAGCCATGCTGTAGTCTTATAAATTTCTAAAGGATTCTATTGTTTTTGTTCAGTCGCTAAGTCGTGTCTGACTCTCCGCGACCCTGTGGACTGTTGCCTGGCAGTCTTCTTTGCCCATGGGATTCTCCAGGCAAGAATATTGGAGTGGGTTGCCATGCCTTCCTCCAAGGGATCTTCCAGACCCAGAGATCGAACCCAGGGCTCCTGCATTGCAGGCAGATTCTTTACCTCTGGGCCACCAGGGGAGGCCCTGACGGAACTCATCCATGCTGTCTTCTGGTACTGCTTTGACCTCGTTTTCCAGCTTTGGCTCTCTGACTCATCTGGAGTTTACTCAGATGTGTGGTGTGAGGTTTGGGTCCAGTTTTATCTTTTCCAGTTGGCAACCACCTGTCTCAACATCATTTATGAAATAAAAATTCTGCCTTCTGCAGAAAAGGAGAGAGAGGAGCCCCTGGGTTTTTCAAAAAGAAGAAAGTTCACTAAAGTAGCACTCTGGTGTTTGACCGGAGTTTTGTTTTTGTTTTTTAGTGTCGGTTTTATTGCCAGAAGGCAGAATGAGTAAAGCTTGACCCAGAGACACACCTGGGCTCCTTAATGTAATTTAATTTGTGCCCCCCCCCCCGAATTTATAGGCCCTAATTCTAGGGACAGGATCTGGTCTAACTCATTTTCTTTAAAAAAAAAAAAAATCTATCCGACAGCATCGAGCCTTGATTGTGGCATGTGGGATGTGGTTCCCTGACCAGAGGTTGAACCCGGGCCCCTGCATTGGGAGCACGGAGTTGAGTCCCCGGACCACCAGGGAAGTCCCCAGCATGTTTTCTCTGCAGAAGAAGCCGGTTCTGAGAGTAGAGCGCTGGGCCGCGGGGCTGCCAGTCCATCCGGAGCTCAGGGAGGGTGTAGGGTCCAGAGGCTTTGCATCTCATGATGCGCAGCAGAGATGAAGACCCGTGCTCTTTGCGTCTGCTTTTCCTTTCGGTTGTGAGGAGGGTGCTGGAGAAGACTGCGGGGGCTTAGGTGGTCCCTCTCGGGTTGGGGGCACTGCCCCCAGGAGGTGAAGGCCTTTGGAAACGTGTGGGGGCGAGACTTGTCAAGAGCACTGGGAATGTTTCTGCGGAGGTTTTGGGAGAAGGACCAGGGATGACAGAATGACCCACTGTATGGGGGAAGTTAGTCTATAGGGCAGCCTCACATTCAAATGCCAGGAGCATCCCCATTGAGAAGCAGGCACTGGAGGGAGCATGCTTGGGAAAACAGTTGAAAAGCCTCTCCCAAGTTCGAGGAAAAGTTCAGAAAGCTTCTGAAAGCATCCAGGTGTCACGGTGGCGGAGGATGTGGGGCCTGCGCTTTGGGGAATGTATGCGTGGTGGTTTTATTAATTCACTTAAAAGAATACACAGTGAAGTAATGCACATGAAACCCTTGGTTCACTATCTGGCACATAGTAAGCACTCAGTTACTTTTAGTCATAAACATGGACTTGTTTTTACAACTGGTACTAAGTTTGTGTGTCTTTTCAGAGGGCGATCACTTACCTTTTTCCCAGTGGTTTGTTTGAGAAGCGAGCCCGGCCCATAATGAAGGTAGTTCTCTTTATTAATACTTTTTACAAATTTCACTTAGCTCTATAGGTTACAGTAATTACCTAATGCATTTTTAATTTATTTTACAGCATCCTGAAGAGATTTTTCCAAAACAAAGAGGTGAGTTTGTTCAAGAATAAACTAGCTCTTTTTTCCACTGTGCTCTTGTGTATCCTCAGTCTCTCAGGTGTGTGGAGATCTGTGTCATGGTTGTTGTGAAAGAAGTCGGGACTATTTTATAACTAATAATGAATGACTGGAGTTTACAGATTGTTTCCTTTTTACTAAATAATATTAAAATTAGATCAGGTTAGAGTTTACGCCTATACTGATGTCAGTTTATTTGCATTCTAATATACCTTTTTGAAGAAAAATTGGGTATAGATCTGCTGGAGACAAATTCAGCTTTTTTAAATATGAGAATTTTTAAATGTTCTTCATTGTGTAAGCATATTTTCACTAAATACAGATTTTTGGTCTTTTTTATGTGATCTGTTGTTTCTGATGAGCGGTTAGCCATCACTGTTGTCTTGCCCCCTGTCTTCTCTAGTTTCTTTTAAGATTTTCTCTTTATCTTTTAAATATGTCAACTGAAATCTTGGAGAAAGCATGCGGCAAGCTTTAAGGTCGCCAGGGAATAGCATATATACTATTTTCTAATTCAGATTAGAAGCTTCTTGGATAAGCTTGCGGCGGGGAGGTGGGTTGTCAGTTACTTTAGAAAGTACTAAAGCCAGAAGTCATTTCTTGAAAACATTTGAAATAGAGATTTGTATTCAGCAGACTCTTGCTGTGACCCTGGAGAGTTCCCTTTGAGGATGTGTCTGTCCCTCCTTGTTTCTTTCATGCCGCTTTGCTGCGGATGAGTCATCAAAGGTTCCAGTTTTGCTTTCCTTACCATGGAGCAAAGAACTTAAACTTCCTTAAGAAATCTGAGTGACCAGTATTTTTATATTTCTGCAGATGTTCCCCCAACCACACTGAAGTTGAACAGACCTTTTTTTTTTTTCTTTTTTAGTAACTTGCCCTTGAATCTTTTTAAAGCATTAAACTTAGTCTTCAGAGAAGCAGCTACTATCTTTTTCTGTTTTCACCCATGTTTCATCTGTTTAGAGAATACTTAATTCATGTAATTATAGGATTAAGTACAATTGTAATAAACACAACTGACTCTTAGTAAGCGTGTACCTCAGCAGTGAAAATGTGTGGAGACACTGGAGGGTCCCCATCTGGTCACAGATGCTCAGTTTATGGGTGGCATTAGAGTGTTTCAGAGCCAATAAATTGATTGGTAAGAGAGGAGATATTTCTATTAAAAATTAATTTGTTCCAAATTGATGTTTGTGCTGAATGTTCACCTCTGTTCAAAGCTAGGCATTCTGTCATTCTCTGCTTCACTCTTTTCAGGATAACTTTTATTTTGAATCCTGTTAGAGGTATTTGGAATCTTCTAATAAATATTTTCTGTCTTACATTTTCTGAATTCTTACATGTGGTTGATAATAAACTGTGACATCAATTTAATTAATAGCTTCTGGGAAGATAATAAATGAAGGCTATATTAAGAATGTAAATCAAATTTAAAGACACAACTCAGCTTTCTAGAAGTAAAGCTGAAGGCATAGCACACAGTAGCTTACACTTAGAGCTTTTCTGTAGATGATTGTAGTGATAGTGATGGTCCCCACTCTTTTAGTGGTTTTCCCACCTTTCAGCCTCTCAGGCTCCTCGCCTGTGTCTCTTCCTCTCTTTGTTCTGTGTCTCTGTGAGTTGCATCTCTTCTTGTGCATCTGCCCCTCTGAGCCTGGTCCTTTGAGGTCACACCAGCTTCTCAGTAGTGGGAAGTTTTTGCTACTGTCAGCTGGAATGTCTGTGTATCCCTGCAGAATGCCCATGTGTTATCCTGGAAACATGTCCGTGTTGGTAGGATTTTCTTACATTTCAGTTAAGTATATTTATCTGTGTTTTGGGGGCTCCCCTGGTGGCTCAGATGGTAAAGAACCCACCTGCCACGCAGGAAACCCAGGTTCAATCCCTGGGTTGGAAAAATCCCCTGGAGAAGGGCATGGCTACCTACTCCAGCATTCCCGGCCTGGAGTATTCCATGGAGAGAGGAGCCTGGGCTACAGTCCACGGGGTTGCAAAGAGTCAGACACAACTGAGCAAGTAACACTCACTTTCGCTTCAAACACTATACCTTTAGAATCAGCTAAATACTTTTTGCCATCTATCTACTAACCTACTTACCTATTTTGTTGTACTTTGTAAATACAGGACAAATTGATTTTTATGTTAAAAAATATCATTGAGTTTTAGATTTGAATAGATTATGGCACTTTCAATGTGCTCCGACTTCCCTTATCAAAATATGGAAGCTTTTAGATTGAGTTAACATAAAATCCTGCTCTGCTGTTTAAAGCAAGTGATTAAAAAATTATTGGGAAAAACAAAGATAGGTACCCGGTTGATGACAGAAGCAAAGAGGAACATCTAATACCAGACAGAATGGAATTCAGGGAGATTAGGGAATGGCTCAGTGAGACAGGAATGTTAATTTATATTGATAAAACCTAATATCCATTAAGTGGCTTTGACGACCATGAACCTTTTTGCACCAGGCATTTAGCATGGAAACATTTAAAGCAAAAAGCTGTTAACTAAGGCTCTGAAGAATTCGAGTAACACAGCATGATTTTATAGCTACAGATTGAAGTACAAAGAATACATTTTCTATGCAGATGCCAGTGGAATATTAATAGAATTACGATGTAGTAGGTTGTAGAGAAAACCCAACAAATTTTAAAAATAGAAATTATGTGGATTAGAACTGTAAAACTTTGGGCTTAAAGTGAAATCAAAATTGAGATTACAGACTGTTTAAAAATATATGACAGTTCATATTAAACCCTATGGGATATGGACAATGTTTAACACAGAGGCAAATGTATTTATTAAGCATTGAGAAAGACTAGAAATAAAATGAACAGTGGTCAGTTCAAGAAGGCAGAAAAAGAATGAAATGGATGACTGAATTAAAGAAATTTAAAAGAAAGGGTAGGACAAATAAAACCAACCAACCCTTTTAAAAACCAGTGAAATTGATCGAGTGCCTGCAAGTCTGGTGAATGGAAGAAGAACATGTAAGAGGACCACATAATGCACATAATAATGTTCGGAGGGTATTTAAAAGTGTAAGATTGCTATGGGTAACTTGACTCTAATTGATGTGAAGTGCCCTGAATAACACAGTCGCTGGCGTCTGTTGAAGCTTAGAGCAGATCGGGTACAGTTCTCAGGGTTTTGCGTCGACTCATAATTTTCACAGCCGCTGTGGGAAGTAGATAACTGTTGTTTTCCTTGTTTTCCGATGTGGGAGATTAAATGCTATCCACAACTCCTTTTGCTAAGGTTTCCCTGGTCATCTGTTGGTTGAATGCAGTTCATTCATTTTCTAGTAGATTTTCCAGAAGGGCTCAGAGACACAAATTCTTACGTTTTTGAAATTGGTTTTTATAGCTTTGATACGTGAAGGACAGCTTAGCTGAAGGAGGACGTCTCTGGTTCACACTTCTCTCCTGAGCTCCGTAAAGACGCTGCTCCGGGGCTGCCTTGCCTCGCCTGTGGTTGTTGAGAAGTTTCGTGCCGGCCGTCTTCCGCCGGTGGTCTGAAGGGGTTTTGTCTGTTCAGTAGCTTTATGAAAATACGGCATCCAGTTGATTATTATTGAGGGTTAGATTGCAGTGGTGACAGCTCTTTCAATGGGTAGATTCAAGTCCTTATATCCAGAAATAATTCTCTTAACGGTTACAAATTATAGTTCTATTCCACTTTTAATTCTTTCCTTTGAACTCCAATTACATAAGTGTTATTCCTTCCTTGATTGCCTTCCAAATCAGTCACACCAACTCTGACTCTTAACTTCTTTATATCATTTCCATTTCTTTGGTTGTGTCCTTTTTTTAAAAAAACGTATTATGTTTTAGTCTCTTCTCTTTTAGGTTACTTATAAGCTAGTCTACATTCCTAATACTTTTAACTTTTCCTGTTTCTCCCCTGAATTTAGTCAGGTTGTCTCATTTCTTTGAGTTTTTTGTCCATTTTGTTTTCAGTTTTGAACTGTTGATTCAAGAGTGTTCTCCAAAAACCCCAAGTGTTTGCTTGAGGATATTTAATTCAGTTTGGAAGGTTGTGTTTCAGTTTCCTTCTCTTTTACCAGGAATTTCCTTCAGTTTGCCTAGTTTTGGTGAGGATGAATTTTCATCAGCAGAGCATTTGGGTTATTCTCACTTTCTGGGTTTTTAAAAACTTTTAAAATTTATTTTATTTATTCATTTATGGCTGTGTTGGGTCTTTGCTGCTGCGTGGACTTTCTCTAGTTGTAGCAAGTGGGGGCTACCTCTACTTATGGTATGCCGGCTTCTCATTGCAGGGGCTTCTCCCCTGGAGGAGCTCAAGGCTCCTGCAAGGTTGGGGTGGGGCACAGACATTCAGTCTGCAGCAGGTGTGTGATGTAAATGCAGCTGGATGCCATTTGTATTTTTTTATATGTGTTTTAAGTATTGTTCATTTATTCTCATAATCCTCGTGATTATTTTGTGGTTTTCTTTCTTTCTTTCTTTTTTTTTTTAACAAATGAGCAGCCTGATTCACAAAAGAGTTAGTAACCCACCTAAGGTCACAGCTATTAAGTAAAGAAACTAAAAAACAAACCAAGGAAGTTTCACTTTGCAGCCTAAGTTCTTTCAATTACACACTTTCTAATAGACAAATAGTTGCGTAGATCAAGAGATGCCACTCATACTTATAAACACACACAAGCATCTCTGTCTCAGAAGGTGGACATATGTAAATGCAGTGAAGGAGTCCAGAGCAATAATCTCTAAGCTTGCTTCTGGTGAGGGGATTCTAATATCTGAAAGATTATGCAGATAAGAAGAGTGGGGCAAAGCCATGCTCCGAGGGAAATCTATAGCACTGAATGCATGTATTAGAAAAGAAGGAAAATCTAAATTCAGTTATCTAAACATCTATCTGAGGAAAGTAGAAAAAGAAGAGCCAGTTAAATCAGAGTAAGCAGAAGAAAAGAGACATTAAAAGTTTGAACAGAAGTCAGTGAAATTGAAAAAAAGGAAATTAGGGGAGAAAATGAACAAAACCAAAAGTTGGTTCTTTGAGACGGCAGTAACGCTGATAATCTTCTCGCTAGGCATAACTGTAAAAAAGGAGAGGACATAGCACTGTCATCAGAAAAGGAGGGTGCAGCGATTCTGGTCCTGCAACGTTAAAAGGATAATCAAGGGATACTGTGAACAGCTCTGTGCCCACCCACCTTATAACGCAGATGAAATGGGCCAGTTCACCGAAAGGCCATCTGCCGAAATTTGAGCACGAGGAAGTAGACAGTGAATAGGCCTGCACCTATTAGAGAAACTGAACCAGTACTGAGCAACCTAGAAGACTTGGATTTGCCCCTAGCTTTTTAGATACAACACTGAAGGCATGGTTCATGACAGAAAGAATTGATGAATTGGGTATCACTACAGTTAAAATTTTCTGCTCTGTGAGCAACATGGTCAAGAGAGTGAAAAGACAAGCCATAGGACAGTAGAAAATATTTAGAAAAGACACATCTGATAAAGGACTGTTACCTAATATGTATGAGGAACTCTTAAAACTCAACGATAAGAAAACACCCACCTGATTTAAAAATGAGCCAGAGACCTTAGCACATTTCACTGGAGAAAATACTCAGATGGTGGAAAATAAACAGATGAAAAGATGCCTCAGGAAGATACAAACTAAAGCAACAGTGAGATACCAGTATACACCCGTTTTCCACCATTTATTATAAAATGGGCTTCATTTTAAGTGTATTCACTTAAATTGGCCTGTGTATAATCCAGTTATCCCAGAAGAGGAAGATACCCTACATGCTGTACAGGTGATATTTCATAAGAAAAGAGCATATTATTTTAAAAAACTGATGGAATAATGACTCTCTTTGTTGGACAGAATAAGGAATACTTGGATTTCTGCCTCTCAGATATATTAATAAATTGCATATTGATTAAATTTCTGATCAGAAAAACATACAAAAATTCCAGAAGATAGTATATAGGAAAATAGTTTTTAGACAACCCAGAGTCTTAGAGCAGGTTTTCTCAGTGAGGGTGGTATTGCCCCCAAGGGAGTGTAAATTGGTTCACAGGAGGCAAAAGAATCTTAGCTTTTTCTGTGTTTGTGGCCCTAGAAAGGGCCACGGTGTGTGTCAGCAGATATACAGTGTATCTACAGTGTTCAGCTTTCCTGGGGAGACAGGTGATGAGGGAGAAAGTGTCTAATAAGGGTTCCTTAGTAGGGATTATAATGAAAAAGCAGTTGAGAAGCACTGCCATAAAGGGAAAGGGACGGAGTCCACTGCTACATTTTGCATATCTTGACTGTGAAGGACACCCCAGACAAGGTCAGAAGGCAGGCAGATTGGGAGAAAAGTGTTTACAACTAGTGCAGTAGAGAGTGTAATCTCCGTGTTTGGAGTTCTTGCCAGTGGTTAACAGAGTAACATTGCCATACAAATACAAGGACGTGGAATTAGTGTTGGCTTCATCTACTGCTGCAACGCCATTTCTCAGCTTGTTTGGTGTTTATTAGATGTGAGTGATTATCTGTATTTCAGAAAGAACCACACATAGCATCCTGTGGGGCCCCTTCTATTTTAGACTTCTTAAACTCTCAGAGGTATGTCACCACAGAGTTGAAACAAACAGAGTGGCACAGACAAATCCATTTCATTCTCTCCTGTGTAATATTTTCCTAACTGTTATCACATTTGACTTTATCAGTGTTCCTTTTTAAGAATATGGGAGTGCATTATATTAACAACCAAACATAACTCGTTTTGTTCTAGCAAGATAATACTGGCATTTTGTGTGTTAATTTAAAACAAATTATGGAAACCCTCATGGTGAAATGTTTAGAAATGTTTTATCGAATATAAACATTGTTTTGTATCAATTAGTATGAAATATTAAATATCCTAAATATAGGTTAAACCTGCCAAACTCAATTCTAATTATTAATGCTTTTTTTGTTATTTTAAAAGTTAATCAGAATTAAAAGCATGTCTTACTGCAGAATTACAAAACTGCAATTAAATGTAGGCTATTTGGTCTCTGTATTTTTATTTTTGCTTATTTGTTTTCATTTGGTTTTTATTAGCTATCCAGTGGGGAGACGATGGCCGCCCATTTCATTTTCTCTTTTACACTGGCAAACAGTCATACTACTCATTAATGCATGTAAGTATATCACATTTGTGGTAAATAATATGAACCGTTAGCTAAGTAACTAATGATACCAGAGATTTATTTCACTCAGCTTCAGAATTTACCTAGTATGTTTCATAATGGACAAAAAGTAAGACTTCAAGAGGTAAGACAGTATGTTAAAAGGCTTTATATCTTATTAATTTATTTTTGTTAAAGGTAAGCACTAGAAAATTTATGTCAGAATGGCTTGTCCTTAAAACGCTTTTACTTCCAAAGGTCGTGTTGAGAGAGAGGTGCTCAGGGCAGTATCCAGGTGTGGGTGCTCATCACAGGGCCAGAATCAGGAAAGACACCATCAGGGCGATGGGGCGCTCGCTCACCTTGGGGAGAGGCAAAGTCCTTCCCTCTCGTTGTTGTTCAGTCGCTAAGTCATCTCATCCTCTGTCCCGCTCTGCTCTTTGTGCCCTCCATCTTTCCCAATATCAGGATCTTTTCCAATGAGTCAGCTCTTTGCATCGAGTGGCCGAAGTATTGGAGCTTCCACATCAGTCCTTCCAATGAGTATTCAGGACCGATTTCCTTTAGGATGGACTGGTTTGATCTCCTTGCTGTCCAAGGGACTCTCAAGAGTCTTCTCCAGCACCGCAGTTCAAAAGCATCAGTTCTTTGGTGCTCAGCCTTCTTTATGGTCCAACTCTCATATTCATACATGACTACTGGAAAAACCATAGCTTTGACTTTACAGACCTTTGTTGGCAAAGGGATGTCTCTGCTTTCTCATACGCTGTCTAGGTTTGTCAAAGCGTTACTTCCGAGGAGCAAGCGTCTTTTAATTTCATGGCTGTAGTCACTGTCCGCAGTGATTCTGGAGCCCAAAAAAAGAAAGTATGTCAGTCACTGCTTCCACTGTCTCCCCATCTATTTGCCATGAAATGACTAGTTATTCAAATACGATTTGCTTTTCATAGGCCAGCACCGTGTATGAGGCTAGAATCAGGGTCTAGAGGACCCACAAAGAAGTGGTTTTACTACATTCTGACCCCCCCACCGCATTTGCCTATCCTGGGAACAGGTTGTATTTTCTTTCGGAGCCCAAGTGTTTGATGATGTACACACTGGGGCATCTCCTACAGTTACTGTGACAAAAAGCTGGATGCTAATACCCAGTTTTAAACAACAGAACCTGCTTCACCTTTAGAGCACGGTGTCAAGTTTTATTTTATTCATAGTGTGATTTCTCCCAGTTAAGGGAAACAGTCCCCAGGCCTCCGTGTCCCCAGCGCACTCTTGGGGGGCTTGGCCTGCACGCACGTGAGCCCTCTGCTTTGTCAAGCTGGCTGGGGTTTGCGCTCTGCAAAGCCAGAGGACAGAATCCCCACTTGTCAGGAGCATTTATTTCTTGACGGGGGTGGAAAAAAAGAAAACCTTCCTTTCACTTTCTGTTGACCTTGGGCAAATGAGCTTCTTGCCCCAGCAGAAATGAAATGAATGATGGACGCGGAGGGCGTCTTTGCTGAGTAATGGAGCCGGCCGCGCTCTCCGCCCAGGCTCTCCGCACCGCCCGCGGCCGCCCGGGGACCCCTGCCGCTCATTTAAATAGGTATGTCAAATCTGCCTCCCGACGCCGCTGGTTTGATCTGTGGTAATATTTGTGAAGGTTCCATATGGACTCGAGCCCCCCGCAGAGCTCAGAAATAATGTACAACGCTTCATGGTGCAGACGCAAATTCCCCCTGAAAAGGGGCGCAGCGCGCGCAGTAGCTGTCGGAGAGGTGATGGAGCTGGCGCGCTCGGCTGTCAGCTTGTTACACGGATGGCTTGCACGCAGCGAAGCTGTGGAAAATCTGTGCCTTTTAACTTTTCTACTTAATCACGGTTGTAGCATTGCCTTTAGACTGTATGCTACATTAATTCTCTTCCTGCCTTCTGCCTTTCATCCCAAGTTTCACGGGAAAAAGTAAAGCGTGCGGGTCGTGGAGAGGAGCCTTATCAAACAGCTGTCACCCGACAAGCCATTTGCATTTGTCTGGGCTGAAACCGAGCAACCTCAGGGCACGGTATTCGGTTGCATTCCATCATAATGAGGAAATTACACATCGGAGAAGAGGCCTAACTTTAGTTTATGCGTTTTTAAAAGGGATGGCTCAAGAATCTGGTCGGTTTCTCAGTCGATCAGATACTACCCTAGTCTCAACTCAAATGTCAGATTACACTCAGTTTATTGACGGTCTTCCTTCTTGCATCATATAGTTTCGTTACATACAGGAGAGTTCTTTGGGCTTCTACATTTTAGTTAAATCTAGTAATTTAGGTCTGTCTGTTGGGTGTTTTGAGCCCCAAACACTGTGGGTTTGGTATTCATTTTTGTTGTTCATCAGAACAGTTTACACCTGTGAATTACAGATGATTTGGTTAAATTTGAACATATTAATTCAGATAATTAATAAAATTTTGTATTTAAAAAAAATGCACCTTATGAAATTTTAAACTAATTATGTGTATGGAATAAAGGATAGGAGTTTCCCTAAGTGCATAGCAAGCGCTTACACCTCATGCAGGGCAGATGTTGTTAATCACAGTTGTGGTCCTTGCTGGGCCGGTGTGGGTCAGCATTACACGAGAAGCTGCTTGTAACCCTGAACTGTGTTACGTGGCTAAACTTCCTGTTCGTGGTGAATCAGGCATCACATGTGATATAAGACAGGAGACCTCGAAGCTGCTCCCTGCGTTGCTCTGCCCTCTCTTGGTGGGGGAGGGGTGCCCTTCCCTCTGGGAGGGGAGTCCCCCTACTACCATCCACCATAGCCAGGGCATCGAACCCCCAAGACTGTGACAGGTGGGTGGGAAGTGAATCACTGTTGTCACCATTTCTTTCTGTCGATGTCATTTCTTCCCATGTGACAGGGTGAACGACTCTAAGCCAAACTGAGCCTCCCGCGTCCTGGGCGGTCTGTGACGGTGAGAGCCATGGGCATCCTCTGCCAGGCTTTTTGGCAGAAGAGCACCAACCTCAAGCCCGTGTGCGGCTCTGCCAGGGGGCCTTTGTGGCATCTGTGACCTTCTGTCATGATGTCAGTGCTGCTTCCCAGTGTCTGATCACTGCATGTTAAAGTTACACAGTACGTTACAGCAGCAGGTGGAAGACGGGCCTGGTGCAGCTTCCCGTTGAGGATAGGACGTAAAGCTCTAGTGAGCACTGTTTCCCCTCGGCCTGAAGTTAGTCCATCCGGTTCTTCTGTGGAGAAGTGGGGGGAGTTTTGAGGGAAGAGGAGGATTCTCAGAAAGCAGCAGCTCACTGTTTTGCCCGGAAGTGAAGCTGCTGGGGGAATGCCAGGTGAGGAGCATGTCCTGGTCCTCGGGGGTGCACCCTGAGTGTGTTACACCCTGAGAGTTCACAGGCAGGTTGGCTGGAACTCCCTCCTGTGGGCACAGCCATGCACCGGTCTCCAGGTTCCTGGGAAAGTCAGTAAAAACCACCTATTTTATAAACTAGTGAGTAAGATGTGCATATGTAATGAATGAAGTGTGAAACAGTACTAATAAGTAAATTATTAAACAGTAAAGGTCGCTTTAAGGAAGAGGAAATGAGAGCCTTATAGCTTCTCAAAGGATCACTGAGGAGGGTTAAGGGGCTCCGTGCTGATCAGCCCTGCTCATCTGTCTTTTTCACCCAAAGTAGAAGACTTTCCATCTCCTTAATAGCCACTTACCAGTAGAGCTTGTGTACTTCTCAGACATGATTTAAGTTTTCAGGAGCAGAATGAAAAAAGATAGTAAAGGGAGTGACCTGAAACCTCTCCACCCAGAACACCTTTTCACATCCCGTGAAACCAGAGCTCGGGAAAGGGTGTGAAACACTCCGAAAACACTGTAAGCTGTCACAAACATTCAGCATTTATTGAAATTTTCCATCAGCTCTCCCCACCACAACCTTGAAGATAAGGTTCCTCATCTCTAAAAGCCACACTGGGAATTTAGAAACCTCATTTACATTTCATGACTTGTCTTACAGTAAACACTGGAGTATTGCCAGTATATTTCTATAATTCAAAGCAAGTATATGGCCACAGATGAAATTTTTACCCAAAGAAGTATCAAATTAAGGAATAAGTAGATTATTATATACTTAAACTGTTCTACCCAATTAGGGGGAAAAAAGTTTAAAATGTGAAAAAAAAGGAAGTGATTCTAATCCTGATAGTGTAGGGATAAACAGGATTCCTTTGCCTGGCTCATGTAGAAATTCTCCAGTTTATTTATTTATTTTTTTTTAATTTTTTTTTTCTCTCCAGTTTATTTTAAGTGACTTAAATAATTTCTGGGTTCACACAGCAGCCCCAGAGGGGTGTGTATGTCCACTTATGTTATTCCAGACCCAACTAATGAAAGTTCTGGGGACCTGGCGCCCCAGAATTCTTCCTTACTTTACATCCTCCCTGTCCCCTGGCAGCACATGTTGGAAACTTTTGAAGCAGCACTTAAAAATGGACTTAAAGCAGTGACCCTTCCCACAGTGAAGTATTACAGAATTCTGCTTTAAAACTGCATTAAGGGCTTCCTTTTAGAAAGCAACAGACCAGGCTGACCTGCATCTGCGTGCTGTTTTCAGCCCTTTCTTGACATGCATCTGTGCATGCTATGCCGCTTCAGTTGCGTCCAACTCCGGGCGACCTTTTGGACTGTATGCAGCCCACCAGGCTCCTCTGTCCATGGGATTCTCCAGGCAAGAATAGTGGAGAGTTACTTTGGTAACTAATTCAGTAACAGAATCTGCTGTTCTGGAGGTATCTTTAATATACGTTTTCCTCACATGTGAATAATTACTGTTGTGGATCTTGTATGTTCTAAGTGTAACAATTGGGAAAGTCAACTTTTAAAAACCGATTCAACTTACTGCCTCTGTTGATTTCAATCAGATCACTTCTTTTGTAATGATAAAATTATTTTTCTAAATATATGATGGAACTTTAGGTAGTGAAAATGTATGGTATCGAGTCACAAGCACTCCTGTGTAATTACTCCTGGTGTGTACTTTCCCAGAGGACTTGTCTCTGTGACCTATATGTGAGACTGTTTTGTTTGTGCTGAATAGCATTACATGAAGTGTACCTGTATAGCATACTGTGTTCATGAAGTGACAGTCATGGTCTCCTGTGGAAATATGTCTCTTGGAACTCTAGATAAATAGCATGATGAAATCCATGAGAAATGAATTACATGTACGTTTATTCCAGTTGGTTTTCTATATGCCAGTAGCCAAAAAATTTTGAGAAGATTGTTATTTAGGAAATTTATTTTCTGTGATTTTTTTTTTCCAAAAAACATTTTAAAGTCTCTATTGAACTAGTATCTAAGATGATAATTATTGTTGTACATATTTTGTATATCAAAAAATAAATATATATATACAGACTTTTTCTGTACCACCCTCCTAAGAAATGTTATTTGTTTGCCCTTCCTAAAATTGGAACTTCTACATGATTAATAAACCAAAACAGATTTGGGAAGACTAAAATTAGTTTTCTTTAGACTAAAAATCATATTGCTCATGCTCTTGGAAGAGTTTAGTTTAAGCATTTCTTTTTTGCACCCTGAGCATCTGGTATTTTCAAATTAGGCACCTTCTAAATGCAACTCATACATTATGGAAATCTGATGACATGAGGGGTGGATAGACTGGCTTTGATTTTATGAAATATTAATCATAGCTGTGATTAATGATTCAGCATTTCACATGTGGGTTATTCCTGTCATATTTGAAATTATACTATTAAATACAGTATATAAACTTAGCGTAGCTGGGGTCACGGCTAATCCTCTAGCGCCCCTTAAAAATTAAGTGGAAATTGAACAATAGACCAGAAGCCAGTGCTGATAATCTGTGATGTTGACAGTGCCTGGCGTATTTTATACTCTCGAGGATTTTCTGATGTAAATTAGTACACACACACCTCTTCAGGGAGCTGAAGCTGTAGGGTGTACTTTCCAGACAACTCTTGTCTCTGAGTAGCCAGGACAGACTCTGAAGAGCAGGTTTATTATTTAGAAGAGAAAGAAAGGCAGAAACAGTGTGCACATAAAATGGTTTCGCTTATTTGACACCCAAATGCCATACCTCATCCCTGTGTCCTTTTTTGGCCGTTACTATAGGCCAGGCACAGTGCCAAGTACTTTACATATGTTTTCCTAAATATTTAGAGAACTGAACAAGGGGCTTTAATGTGAGCATTATATAACTTGATGGATCACAACTGTCAAAGCACATCTGAGCCACCAGGGAAGCCCCATAAATGATTAGAACTTAACCATGTTCGAAATTTGACGTATACCTTCATGGATGGTTTTTCTCACATTCGATATTTTTTCTGGTGATTTTACATACACTGTTTATGCATTTTTATGGAGCTAAATATGAACTCCAGAAGATAATAGCAGAGTGAAAAGTTTAAGAAAAAAATGGATTTAATGTAAAAATTGCTAAGAAATCACTGGCAAACGATGGCAACTTGAGCAGCCCAAACTGTGACGTGAAACTTACCTATGAGGCAGGTCAACTATTTTTGTTTTTGTTGCCTTGGTTATTCAGAAAATTAACTAGGGCTTTAACAAGCCAGTGTGTTAGTTGCTCAGTCGTGTCCAACTCTTTGTAACCCCACGGACTGCAGCACGCGAGGCTTCCCTGTCCATCACCATCTCCCAGAGTTTGCTCAAACTCATGTCCCTTGAGTCAGTGATGCCATCCAAACATCTCATCCTCTTTTGTCCCCTTCTTCTCCTGCCTTCAGCCTTTCCCAGCATCAGGGTCTTTTCCAATGAGTTGGCTCTTCGCATCAGGTGGCCAAAATATTGGAGCTTCAGCATCAATCTTTCCAATGAATATTCAGGGTTTATTTCCTTTAGGATTGACTGGTTTGATCTTCTTGCTGTCCAAGTTGTAGAGGTAGTTATTTTTAATCTGGACAATAGAATTGAATTAACCTAATTTCTTTCCGTAGTTCAGGTGTTTAGACCCAGACTTTAGCGTACATTACTTAGGGGCATGGTTCTAACAGATCAGTGAGCCCTTGTCAGAGGTTCCTCTTCCGGAAGTCTGGGGTGGAGCCTGAGACGGTGCATTCCCGACCTGGTGTTTGGCTTTGCTGCTGCTGATGATGGGGACTTGGCTGTAGAACCTCTGACTAGTTATTCTTCACCGTGTCGGAGATGCTCAGCCGGCTTCACAGTTTCTAAATGTGACTGCTTTTCTTCTTCTCTTCTAAGTTATCAATTCTACGCTCCTTCCAAGAACAAACAACACAAAACACTCTCAGGAGTCTCCCAGCCACAGGAAATGAACTTTGTCCTCGTCTCACCATTCCTAGCCCACGGAGTCTGATCTGGGCTTTTCTCACCTATATTTATGTAAATCAAAGGTGCAATCCTTACAGCCTTTCTTCCTGCGTCTGCCCTTTCTTCCTTTTTTGCTTGAAAGAAATGGATTCCTGAGAAGAGGTTGCAGAAATGAAGATGATAAAATGTAAGCGCTGGTCAGTGCAGAGGCGGCAGCCAGGGACACGCCTGTTCTTAGAGCAGACTCTTTATTGGCAGCTCTGACTGTAAAATAGTGCTCTGATCAGCACCCACACAGGGTTGTCCCCCAAACTGGAGATTATTAAGACTGTTTGAAATAGAGACAGGCATCTCCGTGAGTACAGTTGTGTCTTCTGAGATTAGTAGATGCTCTCATGATTTAGCAAGAAAAAAAAATATATCATCTCTAGTTCATCCTTTGAACATGTCTGTTCCTTAGATTAGTATATTATAAACAAATACACACATGAAATTAGTATGAAATACACACAGAGTCAACATGAGTCTTCAGATAGGCTCAGTCAAAAAACCCTGGGAGACACTTGCATTATTCTGCTTGTTGTAAGCTCATTTCCTGGAAAAATGTATTTTATTAATCACCTTTGTTGCCAGAATATTGCTTTTTTACAATTCTAACAAAATGGTAAATTTCCCATACTTGCATTACAGTTTAACAGGTGGCACACATTTGAAGTCTTTGTTAGAAAGTAAATAATAGAAATCAAATAATGAAAAGTAAATATTAATAGAAAACTTTTAAAGACACGGACTACATGGTGAAGACTTAACTATTACATAAGTGTTAAATATTAGAAAAGTTGTTCAGTGGTAAGTATAATTTTTACTGGTATTTCTCCAAGTTTAAAGGCATATTGCTATATAAATTAGAAATTTTTTAAGGAAAGTTTTTGGTTCTGTTTGAGGAATTCTTAAGGCAAATAAGTCATTTATAACTTTATTTTGTGTTTACTATCCTCACTGAGTTAGTTGTAAACCTCTTATAGAGTTATTTAAATTCAGTTGAAGTGTGTCACTATGCATAATACTAAATTCTCATTGAAATCACCATTCTTCAGTTTGAGTGAGAAGTAGTATTGTTGAAAAGCATTTTCAGCAGCACTTGCCGTGCAGCTGTGACTTGAGAATTGAGGAGGGGCGCTTCTGAGATGAGGGGGACTCAAAGGGAGGTAGAAAGTCGTGGTGAGAATGTGCTGTCTCTGGGATCAGCGTGTGTTTTACTTGCCACAGGAAGCCTATGGAAAGGTGCTCCATGTAGAAGAACGCCAAGACCAGCTGCGAGCCAAAGGTCTGTTTTCAGAAAAACCTAAAACCAAGTAAGTTCTTCTTTGCGTTAAAATACTAACTAAAAACATATCACTTATCGTTCGTGTTTCTTAGGTATTACATAAAGCTTAAAAATGTGTTCATTATTTCAGCATTAATCATTATAATTCCAAATAATGGACAGTGTTTTTTTGTTTTGGAGGATATAATTATTAAGGTTATTATTTTTATATTACTTCATTCCAGATTTATTTTAAATGGCACTTAATTACTCTATTTGAATATTATTTCTTCAAAATTTTTGTGTTGTACACTTATGTGCTTATGTATATATGTGTATGTATATATGTGTGTGTGTGTGTGTATTTTATATATTTTGTGTTTAAAGATTTGTGTGTCCATTTAGCAAACAGTGATAGACTAGATCCATCAACTTGACCCACTGGTTTTAAATTTTGGACTGGTTAGTCATATATTTCCTCCTATTCAAAAGACATAAATTTTTGACCCAGGTGGCACAGTGGTAAAGAACCTGCCTGCCAATGCAGGGAAGACGCAGGAGATGTGGGTTCAATCCCTGGGTTAGGAAGATCTCCTGGAGAAGGAGTAGCAACCCACTCCGCTGTTCTTGCCTGGAGAATCCCAGGGACAGAGGAGCCTGGTGGGCTACAGTCCATGGGGTTGCAAAGAGACATGACTGAGCACACACAGCACAGCATATTCATGTGTTTTATTCAAAAGACCCAGGCTTTGGAATATAGCTAGTTTAAGCTGTAAGTACTACCCCTAGCCTTTTCTTTGCATTCATTGCTACTTTAGTCCACTGACAGATTACTGTGCTTCCGTAACCTCTCCTGTCAAACAAATTATGAAAAGCAAGCACAATTTGAATTTTTGAGAAATCTAGTGACTTGAATATCCAGCAAGTTTCACAATGCCAAGTCTAACTGTGCCAATGGAACATTTGCTAGACTGGATCTCTCTTCTTCTAAAGTAGACTGAGGAAATGTAATAACCCATCTCAAAAAATTATTCACTTGGATATAATTTTACAGCTGTGTAATATTAATACAAAAGTGTGTTCCCCCATCAAGAATCACTACCACTTGTGGGATCTTTCATGATGTAACTCTCATTGCGTAGTTAATTTAAAAGAGAATATATGTGATATTTTAACAGAGACCCGATTGGCAGCAGATGGCTGATTAAGGAAGAACTGGAAGAAATGTTAGTAGAAAAACTGTCAGATCAAGATGTGAGTAATTAATCTTTTTAATTTAAGGGGACCTGTGCTGTAAGATTGTAGACAATTACTATATTAATATTTAGGATCCTAATAGTAACGTTCCTCAAGAAGCATGTGTTCCTAAGACAGTTTTCCTTTAAAAAAAAAACAAAACAAAACATGTGGAGCTGATTCTGCCCATAGGCCAGGAAGGTGGCAGCCTAGAAGACCAGACCCTCTCTTGCAAGTGCGCTGGCAGTCTCTCTGCCTGTTGTCTTGGGGGGTGTATGGCGGGTGTCATTTTTTACATCCTTCAATAGAGTGGGTGTTAATTTTACAGGCCAATGATAAATATAAGGAGCCGTTACAGATGAAATAGGAAAGAAACGAAGCACAGGGTTCCCTTCCTGCTTAGCAAATGCAGTGTCTGTATGGCCAGTTCTTAGAAGCGGCAAAACTACCAGCGTCAGGATCACCTGGAATGCTGGGAACAAAATGTGGTTTCCCACGATCCAGGCCTTGCTCAGAATTTCCACTGGCCTCACCCAGGAATATACATTTTAGCAGCCTCCCGAAAACCTATAAAGATGGTGATCCTTGGTTAGGTCTCAGCCAGATTCTTATTTTGCTCAGTATTCTAGCATATGCCAAGATTATCAGAGGAGATCTGATGTTTTAAATATGTTGATGTTCTGGATTTAGATTATTTCTAGAAGATGGGAATGTAGATAAATTTCACAAATTGTTTCGAGAAAGGTTTTTTCCCTCCCACGGCAGTGGCTGACATTGTTAGTACCTTGCCACTGTGTAGATTTTAAATCATGTACTTAAATTTCTCTTTTCTTTATTTAAGTGGTTACAGAAAAGTTACAATTTGCTAAACTAAGGTGTTGGACATGGTGAATGGTAGAGCTGAAATTAATTTCTAATATCCTGACTGCAAAGTCAGTATTGCTGCATTGGATGCAGCTGAAAAAAATCTCTCTTTTCCTCTTAACTGACTGCATCATTTCAGTGTTTCCCATTTCCTGATTGCTTTCATTTTTTATGAAATAACAAGTTTGTTTTCATTTTGGAAATATCCCAAAGACTTTGTTAAAGGTGTGCAGCCATGAAAACAAAACAACCAAATATATAGGCTCATCTGTAAATATATGGGGTCTTTGTACTTTGGACTGTTGGATAACGGAAGAAATCCTGAAGCTGACAACTGGTGTTAAGATAAAGGAGGCAGGAGTGGTCAGTGATAGCTCATGATCTCGGTGCCTGAGCACGCCGTGTCACAGCTGTAGTCGCCTCCTTGTGGGTCCGGGGGTGTCACGGCACATCCAGAGGAGCTGAGAGCAGCTGGGGAGGGACAGCTGGGAATGGAGGTGACGGGCGCCACCAGACTGGGTGCCCCAGCACCTCACCCTTCCTGAGACTGCTTCTCTCGTGACTTCCTTGGAGGCAGTCATTGAAGTAGACCTTGGAATCTTGCTTGTGTGATTTTTATATATTTCAAACCACTAGTGGCAGATTTTCACTATAAAGGCAGAGGTCATGAAGACGAGCCTGATTTTTAGGGTTGGCAGAAACATAACTCAGGTCACAAAAAGCGGGGTCTCATGCTCTGTGCTCACCAAGGAGGTCAAGTGTCGATTGCTTCCTTCTGCATAAACACTTTAGAGTGATTACTTTGGCTTCTAATTTTAAGGGTTAATACCAAGTTGTTTACTTTCTAATCACATGTTCAAGAACTATTAAAAAAATGCACAGAGTAGCAAGGATAATTTATTTCAAGAGGTTGCCCTTTAAGTCAAGTATCTCTTGAATTTTTAAATAGCTTGATTGTTCAGTTTTAAAGGAAATCATAAACATTAAAGTAACACAGCTTGAACAGCTAAAGATATATTTGCCAAGTGTATTATGAAATATAATTTAAGAGGTACATTTTCTCAAAATCAGACTCTCCCCATTTTACTGTGCGAAACTCACTGGAAATTATTTATGAAGTTCCTCTTGATAGCAATTCTAGTAAAAGAGTAGAAGTCACACTCAAAGATCATCTAAATATTTTTTTGAAACGGAATTTAAATTTCACTTTCTTGTAATATCCCAATTCAGAGAAATGGATTTATCTTTGAAAGGTTTATCTCTCTTTGTTTCTTGAAAGAAAAGATTGAGCACCAGAGGTGCCCGGGGAGAATACCACGCCTGCACGCTGTTTTAGAAGCAGCGCAAGTGTCATCCTGTCAGAATTCATCAAGAAAAGCAACACTGGAAAGATCAAGTATATAAAAATAGAAAAAACTTAGCAAATGCAATTACACTCCCATCTCCTAATGAATTTTTGTTGTCTGCAGTACGCACAGTTCACCCGGCTGCTGGAAAGGTTATCAGCCTTGCCGTGCGATGCAGCCGAAGAGGAATTTGTGGGCAGGTTCCGCAGGACAGTGACTATTCAGTCGAAGAAACATCTGATCGAGCCTTTGCAGTATGATGAGCAGGGCATGGCCTTCAGCACAGGCCAAGGTAACGCGCCCTGGAGAGGAGGCGCGCCCCCGAGCGTGGGGAGACGGTGGCGGGGTGTGTGTGCTCTCGCCCTTTGCTGTTCCTTTTGTCCGTTTGTTAATTTTTGCTGTTGCTACTTTGGATTTCCGAGGTTTTAAGATTCTTGTTGATGTTTTGAAAACCGGAACTCTTAAGAAAGGATGTGGACACATAACCTACACAATCACATTAGCGTTTTGTATTTTCACATTTTCAACTGGTGGAAACAGCAAAGTATTTATCACAGAGCTTTCTTACATACACTGAAAATGTTCAGTGAATCTGCCCATCAGATTCGAAAACTACGAGACCTGAAAACTTCAGGTCCTCAGTTCACATGTTCCTTGTAGATGCCCAGAGCCATTTGACATGGTGTCACTTTAAAGAATTGAGCTATTAAATGATCCATCTGCAACTCTAAAAAGTTAAACATCATTTCCTTTGTCATTTTCAGTTAATATTTTCAAAGAAGTGTGACCTTCCCTGAGGATTCCTTTTATTTCAACCTTTTATTCCTTTTCTTTTACTTAACTTTATTATACTGTTAATGTATTGTAAAAATTTACAGTTGAGATTCAGGTATATTCTTATTAATTTAAAAAAGAATATTAGGTGAATTCATTTTTTAAAAATAATGTAAACAAATGTGAATTACTTGGTTGAAACTAGAATCATTGTAGTATTTCTTAAAATGGGATCAAAGAACAAAATCACCCCCATAATAAGTTCATTACATCAATTATAGTGTAGTTTGCCTGTTTTATTTTTGTTTGACATGTAATAATTATAGAGCTTTCCTATAGAGAGTTAGATATTGTTACTCTGGGAGGAGGAAATTAATGTACTTTTGCCTCACTCAGAGCCCTGGTCTTCAAGATGTTCACTGAGTAGATGTCTTGTATTTTTCAAGGTAAGAGAAAGACTGCAAATGCGGAGGCGGTTGTTTATGGCCACGGAAGTGGGAAGATAGAAATAAATGGGGTCGACTACCTGCTCTACTTCCCAGTGACCCAAGACAGGTGAGGTCTGCGTTTGGGTTTGGCTTTTTGATTTTAAAGGATACATCCCAATCAACAAGGCTTGTAATTTCCTTATGTTTGCCTGATTGCTTCTCTTTGTTGTTTAGTTGCTAAGTCATGTCTAACTCCTTTGTGACCCCATGGACCGTAGCCTACCAGGCTCCTCTGTCCATGGGATTTCTCAGGCAAGGATGCTAGAGTGGGTTGCCATTCCCTTCTCCAAGGGATATTCCCAACCCAAGGATCAAACCTGCGTCTCCTACATTGGCAGGCTCATTCTTTACCACTGAGCCACCAGGGAAACCCCAGTCCAGGTTAATTCAGATGACTAGTGGAGTGATCATTTTTAGCTGCTCCCCTTTGGGTGTGGTTTCCTGTCCTCATAGACTTTCGCTGTATTCTGGGTACCTGCCTCCTGACTGCAGACCCCGCTTCCTGGGAGTTCTTTCTCACCTTGACCACCCTGATGCAAGTGCTCTCCTATCTCCTGATTTTTTTCTCAATTTTGTTCTCAGTTTCTTTATGCTTATAAGCATTTGCTTGGGAACCTTAAAAGCTTCAGGAATTAAAGCAGATACATGTTTACGCTCCCAAACGAGTAGGTGATCAGAGCTTCCCTTAGTAGCATCGTCACTCCCATTACTCACCCTCAGTGAGGCAAGGTGTGCCACTGCACCCGGAAAAAGAGAGACCGACCCCCACTCTCACGGTGTCTGAATATCTGAAACAGCAGTGTCTCTGCGTGTGTTGTGGCTCCTATAAACGACCAGAGTGTGAGCGTTCTGCGAAGTTGTGTGTATATGCCGCAAACCTAACTCCACCTCTTGTGATGTCCTCAGAGAGCAGCTCATGTTCCCCTTTCATTTCCTCGACCGGCTTGGGAAGCATGACGTGACCTGCACGGTGTCGGGGGGCGGGCGGTCGTCGCAGGCGGGGGCCATCCGCCTGGCCGTGGCCAGAGCCCTGTGCAGCTTCATCACCGAGGACGAGGTTGAATGGATGCGCCAAGGTATGGCTCGTTGGAGTTTCTGTGAGCCCTGGAAAGTAATAAAGTGTCATCACTTAACTTTTCAACTAGAATTTAAGACAGGTCTGGTTTGCCTTCCATCCAAGTTCGTTGTTTTTTTCCATGCCTTTTAAGTCGAGTACGTGCAAAAGCCATGGGTATGTGGTAAGTGAAGTTTTGCCTTTGCTGTGTGGCCATTAAAAGTACTCTAACAAAATACATGAGCCTGGCACACAGTGAAAAGAAGTGGTAGTGTTGGAAGAGTGAAGAAAACAGTGAAGACTCCAGCCTGTGTAATACTTATAAACTCCAGTCACTCTCAGGGCTGGAGGCTGAGAGTGACTCGTAATCACGCCTGAGGACTGGGAGAACGGAAGCCACCAGCAAAACTGACTTTACTTTCCCAGATCGCAAGTCTTGAGCTGAGAACACAACCCTAAAACTATTTTTTTAAGATCTTGAAAAAGTCCTAAGAAATACTATTGTCACACAAATGTGTAAGTTTCTTTTCTCAAATGTGTTCGTGAAGTCATATGTTAACTTGTACATAATGGAGGGGGGATTGGGATGGGAATACTTGTAAATCCATGGCTAATTCATGTCAATGTATGACAAAAACCACTACAATATTGTAAAGTAATTAGCCTCCAACTAATAAAAATAAATTAAAAAAAAAAAAAGAAAAACCTCCTGGATGGTGAAGTGTGTGGAAGTGTAGACCCCTTACGGTCACAGTGTCTGTAAAACTTCCACTTCTGTCACGGTAAGCGCGTCAGGCGGCTTTCCTTGCAGTGACTAGGGATGCCACACAGGAGCAGCTTTGTCCTCAGTTGAGCAAGTTTTAAAACCAAAAAGGAATTGATCATAGCTCTCAGAGCAGAAGACAGGCAGCCTCAAGTAACGTGCCTGGTGTTTGTCCCAGAAATCGGGAAGATAGCCCCAGAGAGGGAAAGCACGCTGCTGTCCTGAGGTTTATGGGAGGCGGGGAGTTGGCCGCGGGCCCGGGTGCTTCCTCTTAGCCCAGGAGCTGTCGGTTCACGCGACTCACCTGCCGCCCTGCCTTTTCCATGGTTCCTAAAGGCGTCTCTTTTTATGCTGCAGCTGGACTGCTCACCACGGATCCCCGCGTCCGGGAGCGGAAGAAGCCCGGCCAGGAGGGCGCCCGCAGGAAATTCACCTGGAAGAAGCGCTGAGGGTCCCTCGCGGGAAAGCAGAGGGGCGCACGGGGACCGGGGCCGGCTGCGGCTGCCTTGTGAGGTGACTTACTCTAAAATGCGGCGCTGTGAAGGTCGCCTTCTAAGAATAATTACTTAAAATGTTTCAGCTTTGTTCTGCTGCTTCACTTTTAACACTTTCTCAGAAGAGCGTTTTCAAAGCATAACTCGGACTCCTGGCATGGTCGGTCTGAAAGGAGCGGTCAGCCGAACCCAGCAGAGGCCTTTCTCAGACGGGAGGCCCCAGCCCACGGGTCTGAGCCGGGAGCCGCGGGCGGGCGTGGGAGCGGCACAGGCTCGCTCTCAGTCCTCCCCGCGCGTCGCTCTTCCAGGCAGCCGCACGTTTTTCACAACAGAGGGATGACGTGCTTGGCGAAAAGAACGGAGCCTGCGGGGTGGCTGATGCCGGCAGGCCAGCCTCTCCCGGGGCCTCTGGCAGCCACGGTCCTCTGTTTCCATGAGTCTGACTTCTGTTTTTCTTTAAGACTCTGTGTATGAGTGACACCACGCAGTGATTGTCTTTCTCTGTCTGGCTTGTTTCTCGGCACAGTACCTCCAGGTAGGCTACAGACTTGCAGTCACAGGAGGAATCAGCTCCGAGTCTCTGGGCTCGCACGGTGCCCTGGGGGTCCCTCCCTGTGACGCTGGGAGCCGCTGGTGGGAGGCGGGTTTGGGGTTCTGTAAAGGACAGTGAGTCTGGTCTTCGTGTGCAGCCCTGGACACAGCGGACAACGTGGTGAGAGGGCCTGGCCCATGGGGAGCAGGGGTTGAAGGCCCTGGGCATGATCTCTGTCTGTCTGGGAGGGGAGGGCACAAGTGTCCACTTCACCTTCTACATGTGATACAAGCAGTTTTTGTTACAAACCGTTTTATGATAAAAGTGACTAAAGGACCAACCACCCTGAGACAGGATGTAGGGCTCAGGTGTGGCCTTGGGGGGGGGGGGTGCACCTGTGAGATGGGGGCATAGCAGCCCCTGGCCCAGGTTTGGGGGGTCAGGACAGTCTAGAGGCCCGCCAGGCCCCAGTAGGTGCACGGTCATTGTGGTTGGTGATTCTCATCAGGAAACCCAGCCACCCCCGACCCCATATCCTCTATCGTTCAGTTACACACGTGTGCAGGGGTCTCAGTCTGGATGGGAGGGGGGAGTCATGGTGTGAACAGGCAGCGTCCTTGAAAATGAAGGATGTTTCATTGCCTTGGCCCCTCAGAACAAACAGAAGCACGATGCTCTGGATGGGGTAGCTGGATGCTGCAGACCCAGGGCTTCCACGTCTGTAATGACGTCCAGGCTACACCCCACTTGGCAGCCCCAGAGACACGGGTGTGCAGCCCGCATACACAAGGGAGGTGGCCAACCTCGAGGACCTCTCAGAGTCCATAAGGGAAGGTCAGCCCCTCGCGTTTGCACAGTGCTGACACCAGGCACCCTATCATGAAGGCTGTGACCCTTTCCACCAAATTAACCATCAAGGAGGGGCTTCCCTGGTGGTCCACTGGTAAAGAATCCGCCTTCCACTGGAGGGAGGGCACACGGGCCTAATCCCTGATAGGGGAACTGAGACCACACATCTGGGGGCCTGCCAAGCCTGCACGCCACAACTCGAGAACCCCAGGCCCTGCAATGAAGACCCCGCACAGCCAAAAAAATAAATAAAAAGTTAAAAAATATCATCAAGAGCCATAAAAATCAACATCTCACAAAAATACCGCCACCTTCTTTGGTGACCAGCCTTGGGATATAGAAATTTTTCTTATTATTTGTAAACCCTTGGTTAAGACAAAATAAACTCATTAAACACATTATTAAAAATTGGAAGTAGTCTTTGAGTGCTAAGCTGTTAAAACTCCTGAGCTTCAGCACTGAGCAAGATCTTGTCAATTTTCTTCTGTCATTTCTTTAGAAAATATAAATGACTGTGGAGGTGCAAAGTGTAGGAAAAAAAAGAATTCAAAGTCATATCACTGTATTCCTTCCTTCAACTCAGGCCATTAGTTTTTTAAACAAAGTGATAAAATTCATGTTTTTTAAAAAGGAACCATAGGTAGACTTAGGTTTCTCATTGGGGTCAGAAGACGCTTTTGGGTCATGATGTAATGGACCAAAGGCCTGCTTTTAACTTGGTGTTTCTGAGCATCTGGGGGCCTTGCTGTCTGCAGGAAGGGCCCCTCCCAGCTTGCCAGTCCCTGGCGAAAGTAACCACGTGCCTGCTCCATGCCTTCCAAGCAGTCACTCCTGGCCTATTGGATTCCTCACACCTGATAATGATAAAACCTAGGTTTTACTGCGGGCCTCGGCCTCTCAGGCTCTGTCCTGCAGTAGCAGCATGGAGCGTCACAGTCTGGCCTTGCTGTATTAGTGCTTTTTCATACTCAAGTTTTGTTCATCAAACATTTACTTACCACATTATAAATAGCAGCCAGACAAGTTCCTTCTAGGAAATTTTCTTTAAAGGATGGGAGGAGACCCCTTCATGAAAATGGTAAATTCCTGTCGCATGCATGCTTAGTCACTCAGTTGTGTCCGACTCTGCAGTCCTTTGACAGCCTGCCAGGTTCCTCTGACCATGGGATTTTCCAGGCAACGTTGCTGGAGTGGGTTGCCATTTCCCACGAAATCATGGCTGCTTAAAGTTTCCACAAAAGTTAGGACCACTTTTGGATCCTCTATGAAAACTTCTCATGAGAAATGCAAATTTATTCCTTTTTCATTTTCCCAAGACCTGATTGAAACCTGCCCAGTCTTGCAGGGTGGGGTCTTCCTCTCCTTGTGGAGAATGAGGGGTTCATCTGAGCTCTCCTGATTCTCACCTTCCATCAACCTCTCCGCCGGAGATGCTGTCATCACTGTTCCCTCTCAGTTCCCCCACTATTACTTGAATTTTCCTTCTGTGATTTCAGTACGCTACCTTGAAGTGAGGGGCAGGTGGTGGGAGGGGCATTTTTCACGATGGTGATTAATAAAGGAAGCAGAATATTGCAGGTCGTTTATATGAGGAACTCAGTTGCAGGTTGCAGAAGCCCCAAACTTGGACTCCACTCTGAAAAGGAGGGTCTTCTTGGGAGGCTCTCGGGGTACGTGACCCCTGAGGGAGGAGCTTGGCGGACGTCCTGCAGGGCGGGAGAGGGGCTGTGTCCCCGATCTCCGGGGCGATCAGCTGCCAATCCAGTGTCTTGCTTTCCTGCTCCTTGGGGCTCTTCCCACAGACTAGGGAGCCAGGATCACTTGGGACCGAGAGCCATCCCCACGGAAGCCGTGGTGGAGCGGGGGCAGACCTGGCAGGCAGTCCTGTGCCTGGAGGTGGGACCTGTGCGCCAGGGTCCGGCCTGGGTCCCTCGCTTCAGGGCTGTGCAGAGTGGTCTTGGGCCCCTCACCCCCGCCCCCAGGGTCAGCCCTGCCTGCAGCCCCCCAACCAGCGCCCACGGGGCGGCCGACCCCTGACACTGCCTCCAGGTCCAGCTCTGACCCTCCGCCCGGCCGCACTGCCCTGCCCTGCCAGGTGCCCACGAGCGGCCCAGCCGCTGGCCTCCCATCCGCCCACCCTCAGCCCAAGCTTGGCGTGTGGGGCTGGTCTGTGCGCCTGTCTCCTCCAGCAGACGCGGGCCTTGGACTCTGCTGCCTGCCCAGCCCCTGGCTTGCAGGGGGCTCGAGAGTGAGCAGGCCAGCTCGAGGAGGGCCGTCGCTGCTGACCCGCCGCAGGGTGCTTCAGACGACTCAGGAGCTGGGCCCGTCTGCATGTCTGCCCTGGATCATCCATCTGCCCGCAGAGTCTTCACTGGGGTCCCGCAGGACAGGGGTTACAGAAAACCCTGGATGGAGTTCCTGTCCTCCAAGCCGTGAGTTTGCGTCTCTAATTAGAGACACACAACAAACAGAGAAAACAATTAGATGGCAATTAGGCCCTGCTGGGAAATGTCGACTGAGATAATGACTCGGAGCCAAAGATGGGCCGCCCTCACCTGGCAGGTTGCCTCGGGGCCTCTGCAAAGCCTGGGGTGACAGCTGCTCAGAGACCACTGCCCTCTGTCCCCACGGCCTCTGCCCTCCAGCCTGAAAAATGGGGCAGAATCCTGGCGTTCCAGGGCTCCTTGGACCCCTCAGAACCGGAGTGAGACACGGGGCAGTCTGCTGGCATCTAGCACTGTGCCCGGCCATTTGACCGGAAACATCAAAACTTCGCAGAGCAGGAGGTGGGCCCTGCCCAAAGGGCAGCGGTCAGAGATCACCCTAGTCGCTCCTGGCAGTCGCCCCCTGCACACCACCCGCCTGCCTGAGGAAAGAAGTGACAGGAAGTCGGTGCCCACTGTGTTGCTGCCTACCGCTGTGCCCTGGGTGTTCCCGTGTCCCCGAGGTGGGCTGGCCTCGCCGGGCTGGCTGGCTTCCTGGTGACGTCTCTCTTCCAGGGCCCTCCTGGATCTGGCTTCACTTCGCTCTGACCTGGCTGCCCACAGGCGGCGGCAAGAGCATCGGTGAACTGTGGCCTGGCACATGGTGTGGGAGGGCTCTCCCTGGAGGTATCTCTGCACACAGATGCTGAGCAAGCTGGAGGCCCGCACACACATCGGCACCAGGGGTTCTCTCTCAAGATGATGCAGATTCAAACCATGAAACTTCCAGTCCAGGTGGGAACCATGGATCCACGTGGGAACCAGGCTATGGGGTGGAAGCACAGGCCCCTCGCCCTGGAGAGATGTCAGGTAGGAGACTACCATTGAGGGGAGGAAGAAGCATGATGGGCGGGAGCTTGGGGCTCCTTCTGTCCAGCGGTCACCAACCAGAGGCTCCCCACACGGGCACCAGGAGGTCAGGGGCCGGACTCGGGGTCCCACTGGGGTGCCACCTCTGACACCTGCCCCCCACCCTTTCACAGACAGGGACACGGAGGCGCCCCGAGGGGATGGCTTCCCTCATTGCTGGGTGCCAAGGTTCTGAGTTTTTATTCCAACATGCCAGCTGATCAAATCCTGACCAGCTCTCATTCCTGAATCGTCTGGAGATGTTGATTTGTTGAAAGTGAAGAAGCCAACAGGTGACTAATTCTCTTCTATCAAAGGATATTTATTTATTATGTGCCTGTATTTGATTTATAGAATCTACTTGTGTCTAGATATCTTTAGGCAGTGAAATTATGGGTAATTTTTCACTTTCTCCTTTTATGTGTTGTTTGAACTTTGTAAAGCTCATTCATAACTTCTATCACATAAAATAGTGATTTTTCACCGTGAAGTGTGCAGATTTCTTGCGGGCAGTACCCTTGTTTAACCACAAGGTGGAGTAGTTTACAACAGAATAAGCAACTCCATGCGGCGAGGTAAAGGGGTGGATTGCCCCGGCTCCTCCCCAGGTTCATCTAGGTGATCCATGGATGTTCTAAGGCTCTTGGAAACAGCAGGCGTATTAATTATATTTTCAGATCCATCCGTTACAGATGAAACTAAATTCTGAATATTTTCGTATTTGAATTTATAATTTATAATCTATAATTTGAATTTATAATTATCTCACTTATAAAATTGATTCCTTTTTACTATATTAGTTTTAGGTGTGCAACATAATGATTTGATATTTGCACACTGGCATACCTCATTATTTTATGGTGCTTCCCAGATACTGCATTTTTTTTTTTATAAATGGAAGATTTGTGGCAAACTTGTGTTGAGCAAGGTTGTCAGTGGCATTTCCCCAAAGCATTTCCTCTCTGTGTTTCTGTGTCCCGTTTTGGTAATCCTCTCAATGTTTCCAGCATTTTCATTATTATTAAATTTGCTAGGGTGACATGTGATCAGTGACCTTTGATGTTATTGTGCTGCCACAGGCCACCGCCACAAAAGACAGGAACTTCATCGATTAATGTGTGTGTGTTGTGACTGCTCCACTGACCAGCCGTTACTGATCTCTCTCCTTGGGCCTCCACCTTTTCAGAGACACAACAATATTGAAATTAGGCCAATTGATAGCTCTTCAGTGGCCTCTAGTGTTCAAGTGAAAGGAAGATCCACGTCTCTCTCGCTTGAAATAAAAATTTAGAAATGGGGCTTTCCTGGGGGTCCAGTGGTTGAGAATCCTCCTGCAATGCAGGAGACATGGGTTCAGTCCCTGACCCGGGAAGATCCCACCTGCCGCGGAGCAGCTAACCCCGTGCGCCTCGACAGCTGACCCGAGCTCTGGAGCCCGTGCCCTGCTCGCCACTGCAGTGAGAGGCCCACATACCGAATCGAAGAAGAACCCCTGCTTGCCGCAACTAGAGAAAGCCTGCACGCAGCCACAAAGACCCAGTGCAGCCAAAAATAAATACATCTTTTAAAAAAATGCCAAAAATGATTAAGCTTAATGAAGAAAGCACATCGAAAGCCACGGCAGGCTGACAGCTAACATTCTTGTGCCAAACAGCCTGCTAGTGGATGCAAAGGAAAGGTTCTTGGAGAAAATGGAAAGTGCCCCAGTGAACATGCACAGATGATAAGATGTGCGTTGGAGCAACTCAGCCCGAGAGTCACAACTATCAGGCCTGTGCTCCAGAGCCTGGGAGCTGCAGCCACTGAAGCCCACGCACCGTGGAGCCTGTGCTCTGCAACAGGACTCACTGCAATGGGAAGCCTGTGCATCACAACTAGAGAGGAACCCCCGCTCGCCACAACTAGAGAAAACTCTCGCAGCAATGAAGACCCAAAAATAAAATGAATAAATAAATATTTTTAAAGTTTCTTTCAAAATTGATCCAAGAGTATCTGTGATGGAGACAGTGAGATTAAAGTTGTTTTCATGCCGGCCAGCACAGCATCCATCCTGCAGTCCATGAAATTACTCTTTGAGTAATTTCAACTTTTAAGTCTTATTATTTATGAAAAACATTTTTTAAGGCTATAGCCACCATTGATAGTGACTCCTCCAATGGGTCTGAGAGAAAAAAAACATCAGACTCACTGAGGGCTCAGGTGATGGTTAGCGTTTTTTAGCAATAAAATGTTTTTAATTAAGGTTAGTACTTTTCTTAGACATGATGCTACACTTAATATAGTATAGCATAAACGTGACTTTTATCCACTGGAAAACCAAACATTTCACGTGACTCACTTTATTGTGATATTTGCTGTACCTGTGGAGGTCTGGAAGCAAACCCACAGCACCTCCGAGGTCTGCCTGTATATTGCAAAAGGATCACCGTAAGAGGTTGAGTTCCCATCTGTTGCCACACATAGTGACAAATAAGTGATTTTTCTTGTGACGAGGATAAACCGGGTCCTTTTCCGAGAGGTGGATTGTTGGAGACGACCAAGATCCGCCGTCGCAGGACTTGGCCACAGCGTCCTGCAGAGGGAGGGCTGGATGCCCCAGCTGCCTCCTCCAGCCGCCAGCCCCAGGACAGCATGTCTCCCCTGAGACTCTGAGTTGCTGTTTTAAAACATACATTTATATCAGCGTTTTGAATATTAATAAACTGTCTAAATGCTAATTTACCAAAAAAAAAAGGGAGAAAAGTCGAGAGAATTTAATTCAAAATAGTGGAAGACAAGTGTTAAGAGTCTGAGACACAACACCAACCCATTTAGGATGGTGATTCATCCTGAGTCTCAGGTGGAGGGGTGGGGTGGTTGAAACCCCACCCAGGGACATGCCCCCGGGGCTCGGAAGCTCCAGGGACTTGGCCAGGATGGCCATCTCTCCACTTGCCTACCCTCCACCCACAGTCCATCCTGGCAGGACACGTGGACTGAGAGTGGCGTGAGTTTAATGAGCATGTTTCCTGCCAGAAGCATCCAGGCGCCTGCGGGGTGACCTGGGCCGCAGTGGGGAAGGAGACAGCCCTGGCTGGAAACACTCATCCTCCCCCGTCCAAGGCAGATGGGAGCGGATTCTCTATCACAGAATCGCCGTCTCCTTAGACCTCCGTACTGTCAGAGGACCTAGGGGAAGTATTGAGCCATGTTCTCTTTCCAATAGGCTGAGAACTAGTAAGATATAAAGCTGATTTTCTGTTGTTCTAACCAGCGCTGGCAGCACTCAGATTCAAAGTGAAATTACTGAATGGAGAAAGAGAAAAACCCATCCAGGCTTCCCAGGTTGGCTCGGTGGTAAAGAACCCATCTACCAGTGCAGGAGACTCAGGAGATGCAGGTTTGATCCCTGGGTCAAGAAGATCCCCTGGAGGGGAAATGGCAACCCACTCCAGTGTTCTTGCCTTGGAAATCCCAAGGACAGAGAAGTCTGGTGGGCTATAGTCCGTGGAGTTGAAAGGAGTTGGACACAACTTAGTGATTGAACAAGAATAATAAATCTTACCATGATCCCAACTGACAGCTCGTAGCATTTTCAGAAGTTCTATTTTGTATATTTTCACATGAAAGCTTATTTTCCGTAGTTGTAATTGCAGCATATATACGATTTTAAAACAGATTTTCATTTACTCTCATAACCACTCTGAACTTCATAATTATCATTTTAATGACCTCATAATAGTCCATCTACTGAGCATATGCTCCCTCATGGACTTAGCTAGTTTCCCTACTGTTGGTCATGTGGGCTTGTTAAAAATGATACTGTAAATAATGTGTCGCCAGCATTCTTGCGTGTCTGCTTTTTCTTTCATTTACCCTTAGGGTCGGTGGTGGTCCCTGGTGACTCAGATGGTAAAGAATCAGCTGCAATGCAGGAGACCTGGGTTCGATCCCTGGGTTGGGAAGAAGGAGGGCATGGCAACCCACTCCAGTATTCTGGCCTGGAGAATGCCATGGACAGAGGAGCCTGGTGGGCTACAGTCTATGGGGCTGCAAAGAGTCAGACAGGACTGAGTGACTAAGCACACCCTTAGGGTCAGTGCCTGAACTACCTTTATCAGGTCACTGGTGTGAATTGCGACTTTATCCCCAGAGCACCCTGCCGTTTCTGGGGTGCATGTGCCAGCCCCATGGCCAAGGTCAACACTGACCATTTCCTTTTTGGAAGACTCCGGCTTTCCCACAGGCTCTACATGGTGGACGCAGACACCCAGCTGTTCCTCCAACTCCGTTCTGCTCTCAGGAATCCCTCTGCTGAGAGCGAGTCTCATCTGCTCAGCCTGGCCTCCGGTCTCCTAGACCCAGGAGGTCTGTACGGCTCTTTTCCTTGGTGGGAATGTGCCTGTTGCTTCCCAGGGTCCCCTCAGAGCCCCTGCCCACTTCCCCTCCTCTGATGCCCATCCACATCCTTCCACAGCCCACATACACCCTGCTCTGCCAGGCCCTGGCCCAGGATGCTTCCACCGCATGGGGGCACTGGCCTTTTCCAGTATCACCAGGGTGTTGACTGCAGGGGCCCTTCCACTTGCTCTCTGTGCGGCCTGGATCTCATCCTTCCAGACAGTTGCTCTCACCCTGGAGTCTGTCCTGCCCTTCTGCCGCTTCCCTGTAAGTGTCAGCCGTCGTCTCTTTGTTGACCCGCAGGTGGGATGGATGCTCATGGGGCGGTACAGTGGGGGTCTCACCCTCACTCCAGGCTGTCATGTGTCGGTTCTGAAATTTACAGAAAGTGGCCACAACCCAAGTGCCCATCGACGGATGATGGAGAAACAAAATGCTGTCTGCGTGCGATGCAGTCCTAAGTGTGGAGTCCTGGAGGTTTTAGCTCATCCTGGTGCTCACATGTCTCTGAGCTTGAAATTAACTAAGACGAATGTAAGATTTCAAGCAGTGTTTTGATATTATGCAAATAAGGCAGCAAAGTTTGTTGGAAAACATTAGCATAAGTAACAGGTCAAGTTTATGGGTTTTTCTAATGAGAAAGGCAAGAAATAAAGCTGAGTGTTAATTCCTGCCAATTCATCTTTATGATGAGAGGCATCAGGATGCTATCAAGAAGGAAGTGTGCGGCTCCTGGCGAGTCCGGCAGCACCTCTATACTTAAATCGGAGGGCTGTCCCCCTCCTCTCATGTCTCAAAAGTTTGTTCAGGAGTTAGAGAGTCCTGGAACATGAATACATTAAATGGAAAACTTCCCCTTTCATCACACAAGAACTTTCCCTGATTATCCACTGGTTTGCATCAACTACAAAGCAGGAAATAACTTCGTAAAAGACATTTTTAAGCTGCTGACTTTATTTTGTTGTGTGTGGGGGAGGCTATTTTTGCAAGCACTGGTGAATATGGCTAATTTTTAATTGTTCCCCTAACTTAAAATATCTTTCCTCCAGTCTGAGATCAAATAGAACTGTTGTGAGCCTCTGGGTACGTAATTTTGTGTGAACCTAAGTCTTCATTGAAGAAGGAAATGGTAACCCACTCCAGTATTCTTGCCTGGAAAATCCCATGGACAGAGGAGCCTGGTATGCTACAGTCTATGGAGTCGCAAAGAGTTGGGCATGACTGAGCGACTTCACTTTCACTTTCAAATCTTCATTTCTCTGGACAGAGACCCAAGCGTGCGGGTCACATGGTCACTGCCTGTTTGGCTTTATGAGAAACTGCTGAACTGTTAGAGGCTCCCCTGGTGGCAGAGTGGTAAAGAACCCACCTGCCACTGCAGAAGATGCAGGTTCGATCCTGGGTCGGGAAGATCCCCTGGAGAAGGGAATGGCAACCCACTCCAGCATTCTTGCCTGGAGAATCCCATGGACAGAGGAGCCTGGCGGGCTACAGTCCATGGGGTTGAAGAGTCAGACACAACTGAACTATTGGCTGGGGGGCTGAGCCATTTTACGTTCCCTCTAGCCAAGTGTGAGAGGTCCAGCGTCTCTGCATTTGGTGCTGTCACTGGTTTTTATTTTAGCCATTCTGTGTTATTTCAGTGTGGATTTAATTTGTGTTTCCATGATGGCAAAAGAAAGTGAAGGTGCAGGGAGGAAGTGAAGATGGAGAAAGGGTAGGTGAGGAAGGAAGTGAAGGGGGGAAAGAGATGAAGATGTTAGGAAAGGAGGTGACATGGAGGAGAGAAGCCCTGGGGAAGCCAGGGAAGTGAGGACAGAGGAGGCTGTAACCGCAGACAGGAGAAAGCTCCCTTCTGTTAGACAGGAGGGAACCAGAGCGCAGATGCAGATCACAGGTGCATTTGATGGTGAAAGTTGTATGGACCAGTGGCTCTTTCCAGGATGGAGAAGCGGGGGAGGCCTTTGGGGGTATGTGTGTTCCTCAGTGATTGAGGTGTAATGCTGGTGTTTACTGCACCGGGGCCAGGAGGCCAGGTGACCTGCAGTGCTAAGACAGGGACTCACCTTTTCAGAAAATGATCCACTGAAAACAATGCTTGCCGACACAGCCCCTGCTCACAGCTGTGCACACAACTGTACTCAGCCTGATTTCTAAATACTGTATTGTACTAAAAAGGAACCAGGGCTTGTTGGAGAAGTCGCCGCTGTGTCCAAGACAGGGAATGTATGTGGTGACCTTGGGCGGCCTTGCGCCAGCATCTATACAGTTCAGTTCAGTTTAATCGCTCAGTCATGTCCAGCTCTGCAACCCCATGGACTGTACTATACAGGCTTCCCTGTCCATCACCAACTCCCAAAGCTTGCTCAAACTCATGTCCATGAGTTGGTGATGCCATCCAACTACCTCATCATCTGTCATCCCCTTCTCCTCCTGCCTTCCATCTTTCCTAGCATCAGGGTCTTTTCCAATGAGTCAATTCTTCTCATCAGGTGCCAAAGTATTAGAGTTTCAGCTTCAGCATCAGTCCTTCCAATGAATATTCAGTACTGATTTCCTTTAGGATGGACTGGTTTGATCTCCTTGCAATCCAAAGGACTCTCAAGAGTCTTCTCCAACACTACAGTTCAAAAGCATCAATTCTTCAGCGTTCAGCCTTCTTTTTGGTCCAACTCTCACATCCATACATGACTATTGGAAAAACCATAGCTTTGACTAGACAGACCTTTGTTGGCAAAGTAATGCCTCTGCTTTTTAATATGCTATCTAGGTCGCTCATAGCTTTTCCTCCAAGGAGCAAGCATCTTTTAATTTCATGGCTGTACTCACCTACTGCAATGATTTTGGAGCCCCTCAAAATAAAGTCCGTCACTGTTTCCTCATCTATTTGCTGTGAAGTGATGGGACCGGATGCCATGATCTTCATTTTCTGAATGTTGAGTTTTAAGCCAACTTTTTCACTCTCCTCTTTCATTTTCATCAAGAAACTCTTTAGTTCTTTTTCGCTTTTTGCTATAAGGGTGGTGTCATCTGCATATCTGAGGTTATTGATATTTCTCCCGGCAGTCTTGATTCCAGCTTGTGCTTCATCCAGCCCAGTGTTTCTCATAATGTGCTCTGCTTATAAGTTAAATAAGCAGGGTGACAATATACAGCCTTGACGTACTCCTTTCCCAATTTGGAACCAGTCTGTTCCATGTCCAGTTCTAACTGTTGCTTCTTGACCACTAACCATATGGCCGAAAGGTCACAGCCTGGGTTATTACCCAAGAGAAATTAAAACTATGTCCACACAGAGACTTGTATGTGGGCAGATTCGTAGTTGCTTTACTCTCAGTAGGGCTTCCCTTGTGGCTCAGATGATAAAGAATCTGCCTGCAATACAGGAGACACGAGTTCAATTCCTGGGTTGGGAAGATCCCCTGGAGAAGGAAGTGGCAACCCACTCCAGTATTCTTGCTTGTGAAATCCCACAGACAGAGGAGCCTGGAGAGCTACAGTCCATGGGGTCGCAAAGAGTCAGACATGATTGACTGACTGACACTATACTCTCACTAGTCCCACCCTGGAAACAACCCAAACATCCATCAACAGATGAACAGATGTACATTGTGGTCTAGCCTGCAGGGCATTGCTACCCAGAAATACCAAGGGATCAACCACGGACACACCCAGCAACACAGGTAAGCCTCAACACGTTACACTGAGTGAAAAATTAACAGATATGAGACTCCCCTGGTGGCCCAGTGGGTGGGAATCCGCCTGCCAGTGAAGGGGACACGGGTTCGATCCCTGGTCTAGGGAGATTCCACATGCCTCAGAACAGCTAATCCCATGGGCCACAGCTACTAAAACCTGCGTGCCCTTGAGGCCATGTTCTGCAACCAGAGAAGCCCGCCCACACACCGAACAGAGAGAAGCCACCTCTCGCCACAACTCGAGAGAAGCCTTCGCAGCAACGAAGACCCAGCACAACCAACAGTAAACAAGTCAATTATAGGAAAAGAAGGAAAGCACGTGGAGGACTGAAGGTGAAGTCTGGGGCTGTGGGCGGGGAGCCAGCCCGGCGGGGCCTTTGGGTGCTGATGGAGTTCTCTCTCTTGGTCTCCACAGTGATGGCACCCAGTGTCCCCGGGAGAATAATCCGTTCAGCTGCACACGCCTGTACAGATGTTGTGTCTCACAATAAGAAGCGACCTTCCGTGTTCAGAGAAGCAGCAGAAATCCAGGTGGCCCACGTAGAAATGCTATTTCAACCCACTGATTCCATTTCACTAATCAAAGTACCTGTTGTCTTTGACAAGGGGAGATGCCTGTGCAATTTAAAATAGAACTAGTTCTTACATAAATGTTATTGAGAAAGCCATTTTTGAAAATACAGATAGGGCTTCTTAGATAAGCCAAGATGAGAGATACCAAGTTGTCAGAAGAGAAACAGTTTTCTAACAATTTGTTGTTTTTTAGTCCCTTCAGTAGCATCCAACTCCTTGTGGCCCCATGGACTGTAGCCCACCAGGCTCCTCTGTCCATGGGATCCTCCAGGCAAGAATACTGGAGTGGGTGGCCATTTCTTTCTCCAGAGGATCTTCCCAACCCAGGGATCAAACCCTCATCTCCTGCATTGGCAGGCGGATTCTTTACTGCTTAGCAACTCGGGAAGCCCTTTTAATAATTTATCTCTCCCCAATTTAGACGGCTTCCAAGATGCCTCGAGCTAGAAAAGGTCTATAATCATGCATGCATGCTCAGTTGTGTCTGAATCTTTGTGACCCCATGGATTGCAGGCTATCAGACTGCTCTGTCCATGGGATTTCCCAGGCAAGAATACTGGAGTGGGTTGCCCTGCCTTCCTCCAGGGGGTCTTCCTGACCCAGGGATGGAACCCAGGTCTCCCCCATTGCAGGTGGATTCTTTACTTCTGAGCCACTAGGGGTATTCAGAAAATGTCTACTCTTTCTAAAAATGGAATGAGGACACAAACTACAGAATCTCCTTTGTTTGAATTAACATCCAGCTAACTTAGGGTTTTAGGTGGGAAATGGCTTTCCCAGGCTTCCTCTGAACATATTAATTAAGTTATCAAGCAAAATTTGGTTTTCATAAGAACCTTGAGGGGAGCTGATTGGAAGCTCCTGTTTCCCAAGGTTCAGGTCTGAGGCTGTTTTGGCCTCATCCTCCCTTCGAGATGTTCTGTGAAGCCTTATCATTACACTGATGACAAAAGGCTGGATGATCAAAATTGAAAGTAACAGGCAGATTCCATCTCTCCCAACTCCATCTTGGGTGAAAAGCTCTTCACTTTCGGAGGCTTGGTGTTGTTTTCTTTCTTTTTTTTTTCCCCCTTCATTTTAACACATTCATTCTGCTTTGCCCAGAAAATTATTTCGGTCTCAGACAACTCTTATTTATTCATTCCCACGGATGAAAGCAGAAGCCTGGATAATGCAAAATGATACAAATGCAGAAACTCTTTATATTTGACTTTCAAATGTGGGCTTGTACTTACATTTGATTATGTGTGTGTTTAATATTCTGGGGATTCAATTCAGACAAAATAACCAAGTCGCAGGATGAGCATCTAACCGGCAAAGTGCGAGCTACTTCCCTGGGTCCCAACCACGTTCCTGAGCACATCGTCAGCGTGGAGGACTTGGGGGGGCAGGACTCCAGACACACAGACCCTCCCAGCCCACCCTCTTCTGGCTTCCTGGGCATCCTGGATGCTCTGCGCCCCCAAACCTGCTGTTCACCAGAGAGCAGGTACCACACGTGCTCTGAGCTCTGAGGCGGGAGCTTTGCCACTGAGCTGATTGCTTTACACACGTCCAGAGAGCACACATCTGTCTCTCCTTCCTGTCCAAACTGAGGTTCAGTTGTTTGCACCAGTCCCCCACACTCAGGAGAGCAGATTCTACCCCGTGGAGGGGGGGACGGGCATCATGGGGCCTTCCTGGAGTAGTCTGTCCTCCATATTACTGGTTTTTGTTTTTTTTATATATATTACTGGGTTTATAAACAGCCTGTCCAGCAGAGTAAAACCAACACCTGTGCAAACAGGCTGTGCGGAGTGGCTCTGGGTCAGCCTCCGTCTTGCCATCCACACTGAGACCCTCGTCCTGATGGTGTCCCTGACTGGCACCAAGGTCCTTCCCAGCTTTCCTCTCCCCCTCACACCTCCTGTTCTAGAAACTGCAAAGGTTTATGTGTGGCAGAGGTTTGTGCTGGGATTTTTATCACCAGGAAAGAACTGGAGGATGCTGGCAGGAAGCTGACATCATCGGCTATATATCAGAGAGGGGTCGGGTCTTACAAATGGAAATTACTAGAGAAGGAAAGAGGAAAGACAAGAAGGAAAAAGAAGGGAGAAAGAGACACACACAGGGAGGAAGAGAGCTTGAAGGCTGGGCCCCGGAATCTCTGGGAGGCACCTGGGCCGGGAGGGAGGGCTCGAAGTCCGGGACTGCTGATCTGGGCACCTCTCGTGACCTCTCCATGCGGCTCAGACTTCTCCCAGCCGGGTGGCCAAGTTCTGAATGGGCTTATCCCAAGAGGGAGCGCTGGAGGGTGAGTGCTCCAAATGACCCAGATGGAGGCCACATGCCTCTGACGATCTTGTCCCAGAAGACCCCGCTGGACCCTTCCTCCGTTCTCTGTTGGCCGAAGCCACCCCAAGCCCATCCAGATTCAGTGGGTGGGGACGCAGAGCACACCTCACCCCGTATGATCATCTCAACTTTCTTAGTTTGCAGCTAAGGTGTGAAAGCTCCCTTGTCAGGACAGCCGATTTCCTCTGATGCGGGAACGTGAGGGTTCAGGTTCCTGTGACGCACGGAGCATTTGGTGGTTAATAATAATCTGCGGTTCATTGCAATGATCTGTGGTCTCTATAACAGTTAATGGGCTGGAACCACAATGTATTTACTGCCTTCATTTAGTTGCTAACATTAGGCTTATTTTCAAGTATTTTCTTTCCGTTTGGATGGAATGCCTTTTATCTGAGCTTATCTTCAGTGTCAATAAGTTTCCCATTTCTCGACAGGTGGATGCCCTGATAACATACAGCTCTCCTTCTATTAATCTTCTGTGAATTGATCATTAGGGTTGTGAAATCCATTCATCGCCAAGAGTTGTCCTTTCACAACTGCATGGTTGTCCATTTAGCTAAACCAAACCCTATTTCCTTACCAGGACGAAGGCTCTTTGTCATTTTAATCGTTCGTCCTTAGAGCTGGCACAGAGTGTCAGACTGTCCCCCAAAGAACAAGTCGATGCTGCAACGCTCTCTGTAACCTTGGGTGGCTGTTGTTCAGTCACTGAGTCATGTCTTGCACGCTGGACCGCAGCACGCCAGGCTTCCCCGTCCTTCACTATGTCCCGGGGTGTGCTCAAACTCATGTCCGTGGGGTTGGTATTGCTATCTAACCACCTTATCCTCTGTCGCCTTCTTCTCCTGCCCTCAATCTTTCCCAGCATCAGGGTTTCTTCCAACAAGTCAGCTCATTGGAAGGGTTACCTTGGGAGCCCGTAGGCCTGAATATCCCTCAGATATTCTCCACTGAAGTCTTTCCATTGGGCTGCTCTCCCCTGAGTAGAATTGGGTGTTGAGTGTCACTTGTCCATCTCACTCTACAAAAGCTTTAATCTTGGTTTTATTCACCTTCGCCATCCCTCATTGATACAAGCAAAGTACAGCAAATGGTTTTAAAAACCAGTACAATCCGGATTGTGAGACAGGAAAAGAAAACAGGAAGTCGTGAGTGGGGGAAGGGAGGGGGAGAAAGGAGAGAGAAGAAGAGGCTTCCCACTCAGGGTGGCAGATACAGAGCAACCAGGAGGAGAAGAGGCAGGATCAAGCTGTCATAATCAGGGAGACTGGGACACCCCAGCCCCGGGCATGTTCCTTCCCCCTGGGGCCCTGTCCGGCCCCCAGGAAGGGCTTGGGGAAGTGCACAGGTGTGAGTTGCCCGGGCTAAAGGCTGGGAGGCCGTGGCTTGGGCCGAAACTTCTTGGGAGGGTGACCTGTGATCTGTGTGCATGCTGCAGGAGGCACCCCTTGCCCCAGTCCTGGTGGATGACGGAGAGGTATCTGGGTGATGCTGATGTTGTTCACTGGGCTTCCCCGCTGGCTCAGCGGTAAAGAATCCGCCTGCCAATGCAGGAGATGCAGGTTTGATCCCTGGGTGGGGAAGATCCCCTGGAGAAGGAAATGGCAACCCACTCCAGTATTCTTGCCTGAGATAAGATGCCATCCAACTCTCATCCTTCAGGTCTTTGTTATTTATCTATTTAATAAGTGTGAAACTCCTGGAATTTAAATAAAAATTCTTTGTGTGCCTTTTTTCTGGAAGGGTGGTCTTCAATCAAAATTCTCAAGGGGTTCAGGCCCAGAAAGGAGTGTCTGGGCCTGGGAGGGGGTCACTGTTCTCTGATTCCTGCTCCACAAACTATTGCAGGCGTGTAACTGCCAGCTTTAGCGAAAGTCAGGGCCCACCAAGGCTGAGCCACACAGAGAGTACTAAAACAGACCAGGCAAATGACATCAGTCAGCTGTCAATAATCATAGTCAGATGGTATTAAGAAATTATTCTTAATTTTGTAGCACAGGATAATGATATTATGACCATGGTTTTTTTTAAGTCTAGTTAGCCTGAGGGATGGGGGAGTGGGGAGCAGATTAAAGAAGAAAGAAAATGTTGACAATCAGGCTGGAGCTGAGCACTCCTGGGTTCATGATACAATTTTTTCTACTTTCGATTTTTTAAATGCCATAATAAAAAAGTTTTAAAAATAAAAACAAATCCAAGCTACTGTTCATAACAAGATGCAAATCACTCAGCCAGGCAGAAGTGTAACGTCTCCCAGAGAGGGCAAGCGCAGTGGCCACCCTGCACCTTGCCCGTCTGTCTGTCTGTCCGACAGGTGCCACGCCTTGGGAAGGAAAACAGGTAAAAGAGGTGGGTCCCGCTCTTAAAGAGCTGGCTCCCCTCCTTCTCCCCGGCAGCGAGCCCCGCCTGGCCTCGGTTTTGCTCCCCCTGAAATGGGCTGACGTTCCTCTTAGAAGAGGCGCGGGTGGTGAAGGGGGTGGGTTGGGAGCGCCTGCAGGATTGCCCAGGTGAAGCCGAGGCCGGCACTTTCCAAAGCTGGCTAGGGACGCGGGGGTGGAAGGAGAGGCTCGTGATTGGGAAGGAGGAATATACACACACACACACACACACACACGCATCTCCCTCCATCCTCTTCCTCTCACTCCGCCCCCCGAGGGGCGGTACCCTGGTCCCTGGGGGAGGTTTAGGCCGAGGACCCGGGAGCGCGGCGGGCCGGGAAGAAGGGCTTGGGTCTCGCAGCCCCAGCCCGGAGGCCGGTGGTGCGGCGGCCCCTCCCCTGCGATCCCTTCCCCTCCTCCCCGTCTCCTCCGCCCCATCCTCCTCCGGGTCCCCGGCAGCCGAGGCTCGGGGAGCAGCCGGCGGCGCAGCGGCCGCGCAGCCTTTGTCTCGGGGCAGCCAGGCGGAGGGCCCAGCGCAGGCGTAAGTGACCGGTGGCCGGGCGGGGGTTGGGGCGGGCTCGGCGGGGAGCGGGCCCGGGTCGGGGGCGCTCCCTGCGGGGGATGCGGGCCAGCCTGGTTGTCCCGGGCTCGGGCCGTGCGCGCCCGGCCAGGCGGCGCCGGGGCGCGGTGGGCGCGGAGGGGCCACCGCCGAGAGGGCGCCGAGAGGTTCGCGGGAGTGCGCGGAGGAGGCGCAGGGGTCGTGGGGGAGGTGCCGAGCCGCCGCGCTCGGGGACACTGCGCTTTCGCTGGGCGCAGCAGCCTTGCGCCCGCGGACGTGCGCCTTGGGTGCGAGTCCAGTCGGCCGTGTTTCTCCGGGCAGAGGCCACGCGGGGACGGAGGAGACAGAGGACAGGCAGTGATGAAGCAACGGGAGAGGATCGGGCCGGCGTCACCACCACCATCATCATCACCGTCACCATCACCATCGTTGACCGGCGCCCATCCCGGCTTCCCCCACCTCCTCTCCCCGGTGTAAAGACAACTTTATCAGATGATTTCCTTTTCACGGGTAATACTTTGAAAAAGCGTCAGAGCTCCTCAAATCAGAGATCAGAGGGGCGTGCAGTCGTCTGTCCGGGGCCGGTTAACTAAGGTAGCAATCAGGCTTCCATGCTCTCGGTTTTTCTAATTCTGGTGCTGGAGAGGTCTGATTAAAAACTCCCCCTCGCCTGGTAATGATGGTGATGATGTTGATGATGATGATCAAGTATAAAGTAATATCCTCACTAAATTAGATAATCAGGAGTTTAATTTTTTCTCTCTCTCTTTTAACATTTGGGTGTGAAAATACCAGTAGTAAGTGGAGACATGAGGAAAATGAAGCCGTTCCTAAAATAATAACCAGGAATAGGGGCAAAAGAGGTCCTTTGTAGAAAAGTCACTCAGGTGGGCTGAAGCCAGTGAGTCCCATCAAGTGTGGAAAGTGCTTTTGGTGCTTGGTGGCCATTGATCTCATTACTCTGGATGTATGAGGTTTCTCATCTGCCCCAAGAATGTTTCCCTTGCTGTTTCAAACTGGCCTTCCCTTGGTCCAAGGGACCACAGATCCGACCAGAGCACGCACGCAGCTCTGGAGCCATCAGCCCGAGGTGAGCCCCACAAAACCGGCTCCTTACGAAAAGTGACTTTCAGAAAATAGGCAGCTAAGTCCCCTCTGTTTTTGCCCACTGGTTAGAAATGAGCCTTGGATGTCTGGATGTTATGTTCTCATCCAGCTGGACATAGACTAGACAATCCTACATATCTTGATATGCTTGGAAATTTTCTTGCCCAAAAGCCAGGGTAGCAGGACTCCTTTTTTAAAGATGATTTTTATTTATTATCTATTTGTGGCCGCACTGGGTCTTCAGTGCTGCGCGGGCTTTTCTCTAGTTGTGGCCAGCGGCGGCTGTTCTCTGGATGCAGTGCTTGAGCTTCTCGTTGAGGTGGCATCTCTTGTTGCAGAGCGCAGGCTCTGGAGTGTGGGCCTCGGTAGCTGTGGCGCTCGGCCTCAGTTGCTCCGCAGCAGGTGGGATCTTCCCAGACAAGGGATCGAACCCATGTCTCCTGCATTGGCAGTGAATTCTTTACCACTGAGTCACCAGGGAAGCCCTAACTTCTTTCTTTTTACTGAGGTATGATTTATACACTTAACTCACTGCACGGCTCAATCTTTATCTATGTTGACCCCCACATAACCTCCACCTAGAGCAAGAGACAGAAAATCTCCGTGGTCCATGAGTGTCCCTCTGTGTCCTTTTCCAGATATAACTGCTTCTTTGGCTGTTCCCAACATAGAAAAATAATTTCTTTTGATATCATTTCTTTTCAGTGTCATTCAGTCACTCAGTCGACTCAGTCGTGTCTAACTCTTTGCGACCCCGGGGACTGCAGCACACCAGGCTTCCCTGTCCTTCACCATTTCTCAGAACCTGCTCAAACTCATATCCATTGAGTCGGTGATGCCATCCAACCATTTCCTCCTCTGTCATCCCTTTCTCCTCCTGCCTTCAATCTTTCCCAGTATCAGGGTCTTTTCCAATGAGTTGGCTCTTCCCATCAGGTGGCCAGAGTATTAGAGCTTCACCTTCAGCATCAGTCCTTCCAATGAATATTCAGGACTGATTTCCTTTTGGATTGATTTCTTTTCAGTATCTCACATTTAATCTGGTTGGCCTATTCCTTTAGCAAATAGGACTGGGGACTTGCTTGGTGGCTTAGTAGTAAAGAATCTGCCTGCCAATATGGGAGACACTGGTTCAATCCCTGGTCTGGGAAGATTCCACCTGCCGAGGAGCAGCTAAGCCCAGGAGCCACACGTACTGAACCCATGCACCCTGGAGCCCATGCTCTACATCGAGAAGCCACACACCACAGCTAGAGTCGCTCCCAGTCGCCGCAACTAGAGAAAACGCGTGCGGCAGCAAAGACCCAGCACAGCCAAAAGTCTAAATAAACAAGTAATTATTTTTTTTAGAAATTTATGCCTGAGTCCCAGCCCTGGGCCCAGCACTGAATACACAGGAGCTCCCCCTGGACAGGCAGATAAACCAGATAATTAGACAAGCGGGGGTGACACTGTATGCAGATACAGAACGTTCCAGGCCATATCCTAGTTTTTTGGGTTTTTTTTTCTGAGGGGGAAAGGGAAGGCTTCTTGGAGGATGTGAATCTTCAAGTTGAGAACTGAGACATGAGCAGAAGGTCATCAGTAAAGCGTAGTCAGAGGAAAAGGAAAGTCTGTTCCGAGTGGCAGGAATGTCATGCATCATGGTTCAGAAAGAAGAGAGCTTGGAGGATCTGAGGAACAAAAACACATCGAGGCTGATTGGAGCATAGTCTCGGGGAGGAGTGTGCAGACAGCCAGGGGGTCAGCGGGGCCGCCAGGAGACTCAGGCCGGGGCGGGGATGGTGGTGTTCTTCTGGCAGGGAGGAGGCCTGGACACGCATGGAGGATGAGATCTGATTGTCAGCTGGCTGCTGTGTGGTGGGGAGATGACAGAAGGGGTGGGGACCGGGTGACTGCCGTGGCATCCCAGGGAGACAAGGTGGCCTAGCCAGGCTGTGGCAATGGGAATCAAGGATTGAAAGAGACATAGCAAACTTCTCTAATGGTTCAGTGGTTAAGAATCCGCCTCGCAACGCAAAGACCATGGCTTGATCCTTGATCAGGAAACTAGGATCCCACATGCCGCAGAGCGACTCAACCCAGGAGCCACAACTGCTGAACCCATGCGCCACAGCTGGAGAGTCCGTGCACCGCCACTAAGACCCACATAAAAAGACAACAAAATAAATAAATATTTAACAAAGACAGAAACTTAGCAGGTAAAATCAACACGACTTGGTGTTTGACCTGTGAGGATTCAAGGATGCCCCTTTGGTTTCTTAGATCTCACAAAACTGGTGGACGATGGAGCCATTGGAGATATTGGTGGGGGGAGAATCTAGTTTATATAATATCCTTTTGTGGTATATGACTCTGTGAATACACCTGATCTCAGTTGCCAGTTAGCCTGTGGGATATGTAGGTAGAAATGTCTCCCAGGAAGTTGTAAGAGATGTTTATGGAGCGTGTGCTATGTGTTAGGCATTCTGGGGTCACCTCGATGCAGCTGTGAATGAACCACAATGCAAGGTTGAACCATGACCTTGTGAGTCTCACATATATCAGACCAGAGCTACAGTCTGGGGGCTTCTGGGTGTAGGTGGTGACAAAGGCTTCAGAGAGAATGGGTTTGTTTGGTAAGATTCTAGTGAAAGAGTAGAAGCCAAGGGTAAATTCTCACAGGACACCAGGAGACTGAAAAGGGGAGATGGCAGAGAGAGCAAGAAAGGTGTGGTGTTCCGAGGCCCGGGAGAGGTCCCCAGTGCCACCTGCAGCTAAGTTATGTAAGCTGAGGTCTAGAGGGACTTCCCTGGTGATCCGGTGGCTGAAGCTCTGAGCTCCCAATGCAGGGGTCTGGGTTCCGTCCCTGGTCAGGGAACTAGATCCCACACGCCGCAACTAAGACCCGGTGCTGCCAAATAAAATAAGTAAATATTAGGAGAAAAAAGATGAGGATCAGCAGCAGCAGCTGACACCAGAAATTTAGAAACTGCAAGTTCTTTTTTAAATTTAATTTTGGAGTATAATTGCTCTACAATGTTGTGTGTTTCTGCCGTAAGGCAAAGTGAATCAGCTGTATGTATACATATATCCACTCCCTCTTGAGCCGCCCCCCCCCCCCACCTCCATCCACCGCTCTGGGTCATCACAGAGCACCGAGCCCTCCCCACCTCCATCCACCGCTCTGGGTCATCACAGAGCACTGAGCCTCCCCCCCACCTCCATCCACAGCTCCGGGTCATCACAGAGCACCAAGCCTCCCCCCACCTCCATCCACCGCTCCGGGTCATCACAGAGCACCGAGCTGAGCGCCCTGGGCAATGCAGCAGCTTCCCACGAGCTGTCTGTGTTACACGTGGGCGTGTGTATATCTCAGCGCTGCTCTCTCATTCGACCCCTCTGTGTCCACAACTCTGTTCTCTACATCTGTTCATCTGTCCCTTCCCTGCAAATAGGTTCATCAGTACCATTTCTCTAGATTTCATTTGTATATATTAATATACGATGTTTGTTTTTCTCTTTCTTACTGAGGTACACTTTGTATGACAGACTCTGGGTTCGTCCACATCACTGCAAATGACTCACTTTCATCCCTTTTTATGGCTGTATGTTTCCATTGTATGTATGTATTACATCTTCTTTATCCATTCATCTGTCTATGGACATCTAGGTTGCTTCCATGTCCTGGCTATTTTAAATAATGCTGCTATGAACATTTGGGGTGCATGTGTCTTTTTGAATTATGATTTTCTCAGGGTGTATGTCCAGGCGTGGGATTGCTGGGTCATATTGTAGTTTTATTCCTAGTTTCTTAAGGAACCTCCATATGCTCTTCTTAGTGGCTGTATTAATCAGCGCTTTCCCAGGACCACCTGAATCTGAAATGGAACCTCTGAATGTTACCCAGACTTCCAGGTGATTCACATGCCCCCCCCCCCCCCAGAGTTTGAGAAGCACTGCTCTACTGTATTAACTAACAAGAAAATCAGTCACAGGTGCCTGAGAGTAATTTCGTTGGTGTTACAGCCTGGTTAGGCAAACTTTTAAAAATTTTAACAAAAGTGTTCAGAGTTTTTTACTGGGAAATTTCCAATGTTTTATTTTCTTTTGCATGTTTGAGTTTTTTTCCCTTCTATATAGTAGTTGATCACAGATTCATGTCTTGTTTTACCCCGTTCCATATGATTTGGGGAGTTTTGTTTTTATCTACTTTGAAACCCTTCCATATATACATAGGTCCACCTACATCACTGATAATTGATTCTCTGCCCTTGGCTGTGAAATGGAGGAATGAAAACAGCGAAGCAGAGTGAAGATGGGTGGATCTCAGCCCTGAATGGCAGCCTGAGAAAGCACCTAGACACCTAAAGTTGTTTCCTCCAGAAAGCTCCAAGACACTGGGGTGTATTTCTAATTATTTGAACTTGTCACCATGTGAAGTAATTGGATATGCGTGCTTTTCATCTAAAGTGGGCCAACAGCATAACCTTAGTTGTACTTCTGGTGCGCTAATGAGGAGGAGGGGTGCTGGGAACTAGGTCTTCCCCTGACTTTTGCTGTCAGATCCCCAAGTGTTTCATTTCACTTGATGGGAAGAACTAGAGCATATTACTCTGGTTTGCTGCGATTAGGGGAAATCTGTGGTTGATGTCCAAGTGAGAAGAGACTAAGGCAGACCCCCAGGCAAGGTCCAGGATGCCGTGGACTTGGACCCAGAACCACCGCCCCCCGCCCCCGCCACCGCCCCCAAGTAAAACGAATCCTGCAGTAAAGCCAGTCACACAGACCTTTTGGTCTCCCAGCACATATAAAAGTTATTAAGGGGGACTTCCCTGGTGGTCCAGTGGCTAAGATTTGGCTTTCCCAGTGCAGGTGGCTGGGTTTGATCCCTGACCAGGAAACTAAATCCTGCATGCTGCAACAAAGACCCAGCACAGCCAAATAAATAAAAAATTTAAAGGTTATCGATACATTGACACTACACTGTCATCTGTTCAGTGTGCATTGGCATTGTGTCTAGGAAGACAATGTGTACACCTTCATTGAAAACACTTTATTGCTAAAAACTGCTCACCATCACCCGAGCCCTCATCGAGTCGTAATGTTTTTGCTGGCAGAGGGTCTTGCCTTGATTTGACGGCTGCCGCCTGACCAGGGTGGTAGTTACTCTCAGTGTAATAACAGAAATAAAATCTCACTGCAAGTAAACAGTCAGCCTCCTTAACCAGAAGCCGAACAAAGTATTAGTTTGTGCACTTGCTCATTTTTCCCGTGCACTGGGTCAGAGGAACCAAATGGACAAAATAGAACATGTTTCACACGTTTACTGCTAATGACTGTTGACATTCAGTGCCCGTGACTTTGGGCCACAGACAACAGCTCAAGTCACGGAAGCACTGTGTTCTATACCTCCACAGGTTTCAGTAACAAAGACTAGTTGCCTTGCGGAAAGTTTTCTAGAATATTCTACCTTATTCAGTTTTCCAGGGACATCGGGGTAGAAAAGAGTTTGAACAGGAGAGATGGACCTGG